ACTGATCCTATTCCTGGGCATTGGTGCTGAAGAAATAATTCAGAAGATGTGAAAAGCTACACAAATAAGAATTTTAGCATTGATTTCTGTGGTTAAAAAAAATGGAAACACATAGATGTTCCAGAAAAGGGAAATAGTTGAATAATTACAGGACATCAACATGTTGAAATATTACTCAATCTTAAAATGATTACAAAGACTGCTGAAATTTAGAAAGAGAATATAAAACTGTGTTTGCTAGGATTACAAATGTTAAAAATACGCATGTGTGCCTATTGGCAAGAAAGTAATGTGCAACATAAATTTAATCTCTAAGGATAAAAAAATACTTGCCAAAATATTACCCACGGTTATTTCTGACTAAAAGGATTATGGATGGTTTTCCTTCCCTTTTCAATCTCCTCTCTATTTTCCAAGTTTTGCCTTAAAAAAAAACAAGTGTTTCATTTCGGGGGCAGAGTGTAATGGATCCTGTATGAATGAGTCTTTTCTAACTGGAAAAATAATGTAAATGATGCTACAGAACATTGATTTTAATACTATTTTTAGAATAAAATTAATATTGCTTTTTTTTTAAGTAAACAGATTAGATTCTCAGAACCTGGCCACTTCTCATGACCTCTGTGGCTACCACCCTGGGCCTCACCTCTGGCTTAGCTGATTCTAGTAGCTTCTACTTGCTCTTCCGTCTCCTGTCCTGGGCCTGTCCTCCTCCCAGCAGCCAGAGAGCTGACTGGAACGCCTCTGCTGGCACCCTGCCGTGGCTCCCCACGTGACCCACTGTGACAGTGTCTGCCTCCTGCCCTGTCCATGGTAGCTCTGCCCCCCTTCCCTCCAGCTGCACTGGGCTCTGCCTTTCCTCTCACAGGCTCCATGTGACCCACCTTGGGACCTTTGCATGCCCTCTACTGGCAGCCCTCTGTCTCCACGTGTCCACGTACTGACTCTCCACCTCCAGTCTCCACTCAGATGCTCCTTGTCCCCACGTCACCCTTGCCCACCCTAGGGTCTCCAACCCCTCTTATTGCACTACCATGCTACACGAGGTACCATGCATATTGTTTACTTTCTATCTCCCCTCCAAAAAACATGTGTGACTTCCTTAAGGACAGAGATGGGAGGCTTTTCTGTTCGCTGATGAGTCAATATGTGCCTTGCATGTAGGAACTGGCATATAGTTGTCGAATTAAAGTCTTCCAGGTGGCTTGAATGCGTTGGAGGCCTGCTAGGAGCTCTGTTAAGAGGGAAAGAGCCAGCTGGGGCCGAGTCCTGGGCTGGGGGCCACCACAGAGGTGCAAGGGTCTTCAGGACATGGAACACTCAAGTCTGGTCTGGGTCATCCTCTATAGCCTCCCGGGGTTGGATGCAGGGGCAGGGGATGGGGCAGAAGTTTCTAGACTTACTCGAAGTCGGGTCGTCTGCAGGCCATCCTGGATATGGCTTTCCTGATTTCAGGGTGGATTTGATTGGTTCCAGTTTGGGGGGAGGGCAAATAGGCTCTGGAACTTTCATTGTCATTGCAGTGTGTCGCCTTTTGACTAAGAGAAGAGACATTCCTTGCTAACAATGAGCTAGCATTGAGCAGACCCAGCCAGTGGACCTGTGATACCCACATTTCCATCAGAAGGCACAGGCGTGACAGCGGTTAGTCCTTGACTGGTCCCAAGAGGCCCACAGGTGCTCTGAGTGTAAAGAACAGGCAGGCACAGAAATGGTGAAACCAGGGCTTTCCTACTCAGGTCACTGGACGGTGGTTTTATTTGCCCTTCCAAGAAGAAATGCACCCCAAATCAGCTGTTGGATTTGAACAAATGGAATGAAGCGTGGCAGAAAATGGAGGGACAGAGGCCAGGAGACAGAGGAACCGTGTGCCGTCCCTGGAGCAGAGGTAATGTTATAAACAACCTTGGTCAGTGGGCGCAGCCCTGGAGTTAGATGGCGATTCATTTTAACTAAACGCTAAGTGAAGCAGTGGCCTTTACCGCCTCTTCTCAGTTACAGCAGACAATAGCTTTGCTTTTCTCTGCCACTTTGACCACAACATTTTCTTCATTTCCTTTCCATGAGCACGCTGCTGCTACTGTCCCCCCGCGCCCCATCTCATGTTTGTTGTGCCCAGTCCGTCCACACTGGAGACACTGGTCAAGCCAAGTCCACTTGGGCAAATTCCGACTTGTCAAACTATGCTTCCTTTTTTCCTAAAGAAAAGGGCTTGTGTGTGTCCAGAAGTGGACCACCTCTCGTGACTTCTGTGGATGCCACCTTGGCCTGGGAGTCATCATCATCTCTTGCCTAGTAGCTGCGACATCCCAGAGTCCATCTCCTCTCTCTCACCCTGGCCCCGCAGTCTGCTCAATGCAGCAGGCAGAGGCCCCTCAAGCAGGACAGGCTGGATGAGGCTTGCTTAATTTTACCCGCTGGCATTTGTCACATCAGTTATTCAGCCTCTTGGGATGGGACAGGATTTAAATGTGTCCAGAAATAGCTGCAGGGATTCGTGCTTCCTCCTCGGCTGTTCAGGAGACCCTGAGCGGTTTGAATGTGGAGGAACCAAGAGGAACAGAGGAGATGGTAGGAATGTCCCTAATCGGGAGAGGAGACCAGCACGTCACTGGTGTGGACAAAAAATAAAACGCCCAATTTTATTTTTATAGTGTGAGTTACTGTCTTGCCTGTTGGTAACTGAGTCACCAAGAGTCTGCTCTACTTTGGCTGCCAGCTGCTCCGTCCTGGATTTGGCCTTCCTGCTTTTAGGGTGGGTTTGCTTGGTTCCAGTTTGGGGGGAGGGCAGATAGGCTCTGGAACTTTCATTGTCAGTGCAATGTGTTGCCTTTGATTAAGAGATTTCCTGATTAATCCTCAGAATGACTTCCACACTAACACCGAAGCAGAAGAACCTAATTTCCATTGTGATTTTGTTTAGAAGGTAGAAAAAGAGATCCTCTTACCACAGAAGATGCCCCAAACTACAGGAAACCAAGTATTCTTTTCTCTTGACTTATTTTCACAGACCTGAAAGAATTATGTAAAGAGAAACTTCCTTGTCCCCTGGGTCTGGGTGGCATTAATGTTGGAAACCCATTTAAAATGGCCCATAAGAGCATAAATGAGAGCTAAGTCCAGCGCCTCTGGTGCCACCTTCTCCAACGCTGGCGATCCATCACAGGTTTTTAAGGTCATTCCTGGAGTGGAATACATCTTAGCATCTTTGTGAATTATTTGACACATGAACTTGGGGTAACTGCTGGCCCCTGGTCATGTTCACAGGCCATCTCTTCAGCAGGACTGCCCTGGCCTGATGGCTCTTGACCGGGTCCCTGGGTAATTTCAGAGAGAGGAACATTATGCTAAAACCACCTGCCATCTGTTGGTACAAATTTTTTGGATTCTAGATGATGAGTCACTTATTTCTCCTGCTGTTCTTTCTGCTGCCAAGACTAATTTACCTACTGGACTTAATCAGGGAATATGCTTATTAATAATAATGAGCGTTGTCTTATGCAAAGTTCATGATCCTAAGAGCAGTCTTCCAGCACCATGACTGGAAAAGGTGGGGAAGTTTCCTTTGTAGGAGGCAGGAGAAGATATGGAATCAAACCCAGCATAGTGGCATGTGCCTGTAATCCAGTTACTTGGGAAGCTGAGGCAGGAGGATCACAAGTCTAAGGCCAGCTTTAGCAACTTAGACCCTGTCTCAAAATAAAAATTAAAAAGGACTGTGGATGTAGTTCAGTGATGAAGTGTCCTTTGATTCAATTCCTAATATGATAATAATAATAATAGACACGGGATGATATAGTGTGATCCTTCATCTGGTTTCCTTCATGGATACAGCCACAGCCACCGACATCAGTAGGCTTGAGAGTTCAGTGATGGCTTCATATTCCTTTGCATACATTCTCTTGCTAGGGCACCCGTGCCTGTCAAGAGTGGCACAGTGTATGTCCCCAGACCCTTATTTAACTTATGACCAGTTCTGTGACCACAAAATGGGTGAGCAAGGCTAGCCTCTCCAGGGCTACCAAGAGAGTGCCCTGGGCCCAGTTGAACCCATTAGGCCAAGGTGCTAAAATTGGTAAGGCCACATGCAGAGCCATCAAGAACTCTGAATTCTGAAATTATCTATTCTCGCCAACACAAAAGAGCCGTTGTGATGATTTTTAGGAGAAATTCCAGACAGTCTTCCTGTACAGACCAGCTAAGAGCCGTGGCAGGAGCCGGAACTTAGTGGCACCTAAAGTGTGGGAGGAAGACTTGGTTGTGAGGGTAGAACATGGGATTTCCCAGGGAGAAAACCCCAGATGAGGTCTACGCACCCCTCTATCCACAGTGTATGGTGGCCGATGGGCTAAAAGACAAGATGTGTTTCTCCACAGACCATTTCACACAAATCAGCTTTTGTTAGCATTATCATCTTTTGTCCAAAATGTTTATTATGATGGTTCAAATCTAGCTTTATTCACATATCCTCAACTACCAAAAATATTTCTCTGCTTCTTGGCTCCCATTTTATTCACTATCCCCGAGTTCCAGCCTGCAGAGCGGAGCCCACCCCTAAGGGCAGAGGGTTCTGGTCCTTCAGGCAGGCCGCATGTTACTCGAGCTGGCTAAGGCTTTCCTGTCTAGAGAAATTACCAAGTCGCAGTGGGTGGGATTTTATTCTTACCATAGAGTAGGTGGGATTTTACGGGAGCCTCTTCCCCCAGGTTGTAGATCAGAGGCAGAGTTATGTGCTTGTGCTTCACCTGGGGGGAGGTGAAGTTCCTGTGCCACAGGTTCCAGGCTCGAGCCCCCAGCCCTTCTGTCATGGTCAAAAATTGGAAGAGGTGGCTAGTTTTGTGGCTCTGCCCAAAGCAAGGCCAGCCCACTTGGTCTTTCCAATTAAAGGAGCTACCAACTAAGTCAGGATAATGTTAAGAAATTTTGCAAACTTTCAGAACCAACCTGGCCTTGAGTGACCTGGGTACAGCTGGGACAGGCATGGGGTACAGCTGGGACAGGCCAGCCTTCTTCACAGAATGCACCAGAAGTCACATTTCCAACCACCAGCTGTATCTGTGCACAAGCTGTCCTTGGAGGTGAGGCAGCAACATTTGTATGCTGTTAGAACCCCTGACTCTTGCCTTCCCTGTGTACCTAGGAGGTGGGGGAAAGTACCAGTACCCACAGCTTTGTGAGGGCCAAGCTCTGAGGGTGCCAGTGCCCAGAAGGTCTGAGTGTTCCTTACTCTGAATGGTGATTCAGAGTAAAGGGATCCAGATGAGCTGTGCAGGTTTGGCTGGACCCACAATACAAGAAAACTTTGGCAACTTGTCCACATCTCAACTTCAGCCTTGGAAAATCAGGACGCCACAGTCTTCAGGGCATCTGGGGCTAAGGCACTTGGTGCCAGCCAGCCTGCCTCATGGCCGTGGTCTTGGCACGGGCACAGCAAAGCAACCCCAGGCAGGTGCGCTCCTCCTCCTGCACAGGGTGTGCTGTCATTGCCTCAAAGGACCTTCCATGCTTGAAGTGGGTGTGACACCAAAACTGGGGAATGAAACTATTTATAAGGGGCCCTTAGTACAAACTTGAACAGACTTGTAGGTTTGTCTATTTCAAAAACAGAAGATTCCATCCGTGACAAAAGCAAAGGAAATCAGATTGCATTGGCTTTTCTCAGTTTTGGAGGAAGTGTGCATGGAGAAGCTACAGGAGTGGAAACCCAAGTTGGTTCCCATTGAATAGCAGCACTGCCTAATCCAGGGCTGTGGGAGCACCTACCTCTGGCTCCGGGACGGCTAGAAATGGTGCTATTTGGGGGGATTTGCAATAGCAGAAGACCTCGTCTTCCCTTTGATGCCTCATCACACAAATAGAAATCCCTAAGCAACTGACCACCCCCAAGCCCAGCAGAGGGGCTGCTTCCAGAGACAAGGTCAGCAGCCTGTTTCTTAAAGATTCACTTGCAAGAAATACAAATGCTAGTTAGATATTTCCTAGACCCTGGTTATTTACCAGATTAGAATCCTCTCTAGTGTTTAATCCTGCATCAAATACAGAAAGGCAAACCATCGGCTTCAAGAGAGTCAGGGTTTGTGTTCAGAGAGGAAATGCTCTAGAAAGAATCTCTGTTTTAGGAGGACCCGGCACACTGGCTGTAGCTGTTTAAGGAACAGCCTTGGACATTTCCAGCTGCTCCAGAGGTGGAGAGCACGGAGGGTGGTCCAAGGAGTCTTTGCTGTGCGCTCAGCACATCAGCAGATGATATGCTGTGGAGATGGGACCCAGGGACCACAGCTGCACCGGGCTCACATGGCACTCGGAGCCAGGCTGCCTGGGAGGCCCGGGCACCCAAGCACGCTCCTTGCTCAGAGACCCAGGACCCCAGCTAAGTGGTGCGGATCAGGGCCACCCCTCCCTCTCCTCCTGGGAGATGCCCAGCACGGACTTGTGGGGGATCCCGCACTCCTGCAGCGATCTGGTGAGGTCAGAAAACCGTCTCCGGGGCACCTCCATGGTCTCAATGCTGCAGCCTCGGTAGGTCGCTTTGTTCCTCTGCTCAGCCACGGCCACCACTGTCTGTAAGTCATCAGTTGGCCGGAAATGGCGGATGAACCTTTGGCCTGAGGGCGATCGGACAGCGAGCAGCAGCCTGGGTTCTTGGTCTGAGGGTTCCTCCAGGTTTCGATCCTGGGAGGGGCCCTGCTTCTTGGTTCCAGTGGCAAACTTCCTCTCCAGGGCACCAGCGCAAGCTCTGGAATCTTCTTTGCTTGGCTTCACAGTGCAGGCCTCCTCTTGGTAAAGGGCCCGGATGCTGCTCAGTTGCAGTGAGCTGGCCTTTTTGGCTACTGTGTCCACAGCCCCCTCCTGGAGGCGCCTCCTGCTGATGGAAGGCAGGACGGGGTACTTATTGAGGGAAGAGGAAGCCGCGAGGGGCCCCTGCTGCAGCAGTTCAGGGATCTCCTCGAAGGCCCTCTGGGCTGGAGAAATGGGCGCACAGGCTCCTGGCTTCTGGCTGCCAGGAGACTCGCAGGGAATGGCTGGTGACCAGGGGGAAGCAGTGCGCTGGGGGCTGTCCTCCTTCCCCTGGGGTTTGTGCAGAGTGGGCCGCGTCCGGCCCTTGGCAGACTTGGGCCTGATGACATGCATTTTGAGGGAGTTTGACTGCCAAAGAAAGCTGCCAGTTGCAATGCCGACGACAGCGCTGGGCTCCGGTGGTGCTGTGTTCACAGGGACTTCTGTGGCCATTGCTTCTCGGGACCCCTGAGGAAGCAGGAAAACACAGAGGAGGCAATGGGTTAACCATCCCTGAACACCTGGATCCGTGCCATCGCTCCCCAAGTGCCCAGAGTAAGCACCAGCAGGCCACAGTCCCGGAGCCTTCTCTCTGGATTTCTGGCATCTGGAGAGGGCGCCAGCCGTGATTCATGTATTCATTCATTTTAGGCCATTGGGATAGATCAGCAAACAAAGTCCTCACCACTTAGAATTATTATAGTGAGGAAGGACAGGGGCTAAGCGCACAGGTAAAAAGATATTTTCAAAGAGAAACAACCGCTACGAAGAAAATACAGGATTGGTGGAGTGGAGGACTAATTCTGATTCTTAGGAGGAGGGGCTGTGAGCTGGGAGAGCACAATGATGACGAGGAAGATGCCCTGTTGACAATCCAGAGCAGGGTCACTTAACTTTTCCCATAAATATTTTCTGCTTTGGGAGCCACAGGGTCTGTTACGGCTACTCAACTCTGCCACTGCGGCACAAACCGCCCCGCCATCCGTCACCCAGCACCTGTGGCCCTTCCAATAGAACTAACTTTAGTTACAAAAATGGGGGGGGGGCAGATTGGGCCCCTGGGGAGGGAAGGGCACTGGTGAGGTCGTGTAGCAGGGGGAGCTTGGTAGATTCCAGGGAATTTGTGGGTTCCCAGGCCCGGGAGCCCTCCCCGGGGTGGCCTGTGCCATCCATGGACAGATGCAACGTCAGAAGGGTGGACGGCAGCTGCTTTGGCTCCAAGAGGAAAGTGACCCTATTAAGGTGCTAAGCAGGGAAACCAGGCTCAGCTCCACTCAAGAGCTAATAGCTTCTCCCTGCGCCCCCAACCCGCCATCGTAGAGTGTCCTTCCCCACGGGACCCGCGGTCTGCCGGGCACATTGTCCACTGTGGAGGCACCAACTTTTGGCATGCCAGCTGCCCTCTCGCCTCGGCCCTTCCTCCTTCCTCCTTCCCAGTCTACTCCTAGCTTGTCCTTGCTTTTCCTTCCTCTGTTATTTCCTCCAGCCTCTGCATGAACCACTTAAAATCCTTCCTTAACTTTGTCACCAGGGCTTGGGGGAGAGGAACAGGAAGGCCCCACTGCCCCTCCGGCCATCTCTCTGGAGAGGCGCTCAAATTCTAGACGAGGGGTGCACAAAGCTCTTCTGTAAAGAGCCAGAAGCGGGCTATTTGGGGCTCTGCAGTGGTCCGGTCTGTTACAGTCACTCAACTCCACATCTTTGCAGCAGCTCCAGAGATGGCAGGGAGACGAACACAGGTGGCCATGTCCAATAAAACTGCATCTAGGGACTCTGAAATGTGAATTTCATATGATTTTCATGTGGTCACAAAATATTCCTCTTTTGATTTTTTTCCCAATGATTTAAACAGGCTCTTCTCATCTCACAAGCCACACAGTAGCAGGTGGCTGACCAGTTTGGGCCTGGTAATTGGTCAGACCCTATCTTAAACCAACTCTAAGGGGAATCTGGGCACATGCTAATCCTACGGCTGCGTGAGCCAGGAGGTAGTGCTGCCCGATGGTCACACGGTGAGCTGGTGGCAGAATCTGAAACAGAGCCCAGGTCTTGTGACATTCAGTCCTGGGTCCTTTGTACCCAAATGAGCTGCTACTTGAAGGAGCAGCCTTGGCTGTCTCCCAGCACATCGCATTCTGTCTCTGCCACTTGCATTTCTTGCTTCCCAACCACCTCGTAACCCCAAGGGCCTCTGTACTGGGTCTCCCGGAGGCTGTTCAGGAGAGTCAGGGAAATACCACAGAGGCTACACTCTGAGGCGGCAGGAGGAGCATTTCTCCGTGTAGACCCAGAATCACTAAGTCATGTCACTGCTTCTGTCATTGCCATCTTGGTGGCCCCTTCACTAACACCATTACCGCCATCTCCTCCCAGTCCCCAATTGCAGGTTTCCCAGAATGCTGTGGGCTCCCTGCTTCCCTCTGCATTCTGACCATCATGGCAACTCCTGCTTTCTCTACTCAGACTGACCAGGTCTCTCCCAGCCTTCTGAAGACCTTCTGGTGACTTCCTAGTGCCTCATGGTCCCCAAGAAACAGTATTTCGGGCACAAGAGCAGAGGACCAGAGTCACAAGACCTCCAGATAGCTACATGACTGTTTATTCTGGCATATAACTTTCCTCATTTACCAAATTAGATATTTGACTTTGAAGATGCTACTTAAATACCTCTGAACCTCAGTGTTACTCTCTGTCACATGAAAACAGGAACAGCAAGTAAAGTATAAGTGGGGAGAACCAGGCCTGGTACATAGTAGGGGCTTAGTTAAATGTTCAGGGCGCTTGCTTTGGGTGTTGGCTGTCTGCCTATCTAGCGCTTTTGGCTATTCTAGGTCCGAAGCCTCATCTGTTGCTCTAGAGCTTTTCCCCAGGGGGTCCTTGGCATTCCTCCTCCCAGTCAGTGCTAACCAGAGGGAGGTCCTGGGGCTTACACTGCACAGGGATGCTAGGGTGGCTTCAGTGAGCTACCAGCTATGCAGTTGCCTCAAAAATGCAAAGAAACAAAAAATCCTGAGTCGACCACTTTCCTTTTAATTTCACACTCCACGGACCTCAAATTCACCCCCTCTAGGCTAGCTTCCCCACCCAGTCCTCAACAATGTTCCCCAAGCCTCTCGGCCTGTGTCCTAACCTTGCCACTCTGTGCACGTTACCAGTGTCACCTGGTTATAGGGAGTATTCTCTCCCTTGCCAACAAAACCTTCACCCAAACACACTAACCCTATAAATTCCTGATGTCTTTCTCTGCTGAAAATCATGGGATAAGTGACTCTCGGCTTCTTGTTTTAAAGGCCTATGTTTGCTCCATTCCACTCACAGCCCGGGTCTTCCTCTCCTTCCCATTTGCACTCATCCTTCACACCCAGTCTGGCCACTGGTCATTCAGAAACTTCTCTTTAGCAAAGTCTGGGGATCAGAAATGCCTGGCCGGGCACGGTGGCCCACTCCTGTAATCCCAGCAGCTCGGGAGGCTGAGAGAAAGACCACGAGTTCAAAGCCAGCCTCAGCAATGTCAAGGTGCAAAGCAACTCAGTGAGACCCTGTCTCTAAATAAAATACCAAATAGGGCTGGGGATGGGCTTCAGTGGTCGAGTGCCCCTAAGTCCAATCCCTGGTACCCCCTCCCCCCAAAAAAGCCTGCCTGTCTCCTTGTTAGTTTGATCTATTTTCTGATCAGCTTCTAAGACACGTTCTCCCCAAATTCAGTTCTAGAGTCTTTCGCTTGTAATGAGGCAGCTCTGCGTGTAACTGGGAACAGCATGACAAGACCATAACTGTCCAACTCCTGGGCCAAGGATAAGCTTGCTCCTCTCTCTCCCCACCCTCCCTGCCGGGGAAGGGCTATTAATTTGCCACAGCTTCTACAGAATTATCACAGGCTTGGCTTCCAACACCCACACATGCCTCAGGAAGGTTTAACTGTCAGTAAGTTTGGTAACTTAGAAACCTCTTCCTTAACAACTTTGACGAGTGAAGTCATGTGTTCTCACAGTCTCTGCTGGACTATTTTTAACAGTAAAACTTGACTATGTGCATGCACTTGTTACACCTTTTGGTACTATATAATTAGCCATGTTCAGGGGGTGTCATATTCAAGACACCCTGGTCATAAGATAACATGACTGCAAGCTATCTCAGAGAAAAGCCTCCATTATGACTAATTCCCCAAAGCCCACTCATGGTTATTTAGAGACTAACACCTCCTTCAGGTAAAACCGTTATATCCAACCTGCTTCCATAACCCACTGCCTCCTCCCAAGTGCAGGGACCATCTGTCACATGGAGGGAACACCAGCTCCCCCTGGGGCACCCAGCACAAGGGCAGGGGAGGTAGAGGGAACAGGTGTTTGGGGATCTGGCCAAGTGTTCCTTTATATTCACACCTTGGGTCCCAAACTCTGCCCCAGTCCAAGCAGGCTTCCACAGCACCATCATTATCATGCTCAGCAAATTTCCCTACCTCTAGGCCTGGCAGACGCTCAACCACAAAGAGATTTGACAAGATCTAGGCGTAGCACTCCGTCAAGCTGCCAGCTGAGTAGGCAAGTGGCCTGTTTACTTAAACACAATAGCGGCACTGCAGAGGCCTACTAGGAGGAAACAAACCCTGAGGACGGTTTCCAAGAAGTTGCCAGGGGGCAGGTGCCCATTAAGATTCACCACCAAATCAAATGGAAAGGAAGAAAATTTGATGGGAGAAAGGAAAGCCATGATTTCTGCCTTCTAAGGCTACCCACCATGTTTCACGGGGTCAGTGCACCCCATTTTTCAACCCAAATCTAAACCTCCAGTAAAAGCAATAAAATATACCCACCTACATACCATCTGCTGGTGTATACCAAGATGCCTACATTGGAATTGGTCTTTTAAAACTGTTTATCAGCTAATCCCAACTCCTGTCACCCACCCCCCCATCAACATCTAGAAGGACTAACAGGAGATGGTAGTCAGCCCCAGAGAAAACTTTGGTACCATTCCCAATTTTACCCTAAGACCAGAAGGCACTGTCCTGTGCCCAGTGCCACACTGAATCACAAGCCAAGTGATCAGAAGATTGGAAAGGAAATCGGGGGTGATTCCAGCAGCAAAGGGGTGGGGATCACTCATTGATTTCCAAGTTTTGGCAGCCCTGGAAGCAAAGAAACTTAAAGCTCAGAAGAAGGGACTTGGGGGAAGGGCAAGACAGCGGGCCTGGACAGTGAGAGATGACTTGGGTGAAAGAGCACAGGTCTGGGGGAGGTTCCCTCTGGTTCCAGCCCCTCCGTGGGACAGGGACGTCCTTTGCTCTGTCTGAGTCAGTGTCCAGAGGCTGGCTGTGCCCGGCCCCGGGGCTGGTCCTACTTCCACCGCCTTAAGCTCTGGCCGGGGCGTGCTCTGTCCCCCGGAAGGAGCGACTTCCCTCCTGGGGGCTCCAGTCCTCCGGGCGGGCGACGCACCGGGGCTCGGGGACCCGCCTGCCCCGGTCCCTTCCAGGCGCGGCGGGCCGCGGGCGAACAGCCTGCCCTGCTCACCTCGCCGCTCCGCTCCATCCACCTCCTGCGCCTGGCGCGGCCCGCTGGTAAACAGCCCCGTCTCCCCGGCAACCGCGCAGGATAGGGGGCCACGTGCTTCCGGTCCGACCGGAACCGGCCCCGGAGGGGTGCGGTCCGGAGCCGGGCCGAGAGGGGCGGGTCAGAGCCCCAGGTCGCCGGACCCTCAGCCCTGCAGCTGGAGGCGACCGGACCCCAGCCCGCGCCTCCTGCCCTCCCCACCTCGCTGCCGGTTGCTCCTCAACCCCTTGATGTGACCTTGGATCAGACCCTGACCCTCCCAGCGACCCTGACTCCCTGGTTTAAAAGGAGGCTTAGGGACTGATTGATTCCGGCCAACCCTAGAATCCCAGTGGCTGCTTTTTGGGGAGCAGGACCACTGATCCGCTTCTCCTCCTGGGTACCGCCCTTTGGGCACCGGTTCCAGCCGCCCACTCTGGGCGCACATCCTGAACCTCTGAGCCAGGGCCACCACACCTCCTCTGAGGGCCTGGCCAGGACCTCCTTCACTTCAAACACGGGCAGTCACTTCTAGGGCGTCTCCGGCTCTTGCTCTGCATTTCCCAGACCCTGGAGTCTGGCTCATCGCCTCAGCCATTGTCTTGGCAAGAACCTTCCACACCTTGTCCTGCTCTCTTTCTATCCCTAAGGTGCGGTGGAACCCCAGCCCCATCCCTCTACCCACATCTGGATCCTAAAGAAACCTTGGCAGGTCACACACATTGATGTGATGGGAAGTGTGGTCTCCAACCTCAACTGGAACGTGGGTGCTGCTCAGCAGGTCTGCCATTTTCTCCTCCCTTCTCTCTCCTTCCCCTCAGTGGCTATTTCAAACCTGTCTTCCCTCCTGAAACCTCCTACCTCTCCCCCTTCCTCCTGCATCTTGGAAGATAATCTTACTGCCCTCTGCAGAGAAAAAATAGAAGGCATCATATGGAAACTTTTATAGCCGTCTGCCGTCAGACCTACAAGTTGCCTGCCTTTGCTTTCTCCATCCTGCCAGTTGGAATGGAAAGGGGCTGTCCTTGGATTCTGTCTGAGGTTAACTGCGCCTCCACGGGGCCTGTCACACCACGTGGTCACACATACACACTCTCACTGTACTCCAGGACTTTTCTCCTGCTAGCCCCTTAACCTGGAAGATTCTTCCCCTTCCTTTGCCTAATTCCCATTCATTCTTCATGTCCTGACCTAACAGATGAAGCTTTTCTTCCAAAATTGACTTTAAAAGAAGCCCCAACTGGACCACTGTCTGCCAGGTTCTATTCTAGACTTTTGGAATATGCAGATGAGTAATTTAGTGGATGTATTATTAGAAGGCAAAGGTGCTAGATATGCAAGAACCATAGATTTGTTATCTAGCTCTGGGGCTAAATATCTACTATTGCTCCTCAACCCCCTGATGTGACCTTGGATCAGACCCTGCCTGTCCTGGCTGTGCAGGTGTGCGATTTTGCTATGAACAGAACTAAATCTTCAGAACATTCAGTTTTGTTGAGAAGACATATTGTATGCTGATAGAGTTACAAATCAGATTGTTTTCAATACAATTTGAGCCAGGGGTAGAGGAGCAGGCACGGGCTGGATGTGATTATGTGTGGATGGGCATAGGCAGCAAGATTTTTGAGGCAATGGTGGGTGGGGAGGGGATCATGGTCGTGTTTCTGCCCATCTCAGAGAGAAAGCTCTTGATTTATGGAGCTGCTGGTGCAGGCCTGGGCTGGGCAAGCCTGTTGGGATGCCAGCTGTCACTTGCCCAGCAGGAGTCTTGTGGCCCCAGAAAGGTACAGGAGTTGACAGTTTTAGGAGCCCATAGTTTTGCAGGTCGGTGCTTATGGCTTATTTCTTGTTAATGATTCTGTCAGAAATATCTAAGCGATGCCTTCAGCCCTTCAGCACCCACTCAGAAAAGATTAAAGTAGATTCTTCATCAGCTATTTTAACATCACCTAGGAATTATGTAATCCTTTGGAGAAGCAAATGGGCTTCTCACCCCCCATGGGTGTGCGCCCTTGGCAGTGCACAGTAAAGTGGTCATTGTGCCCGTGGTCTGTTCATGCTCAGCGGTACAAGCCTTTTGCTCTCCAGGGTCGTGTCATGTGCAGCCCCAGGGGGAGGCTGGAGGGAAGGAGAGGAAGCCGGGCTGTCCATGGCTGTGACTCTGCCTTTAAAGAAGATATCTTCAGGGCTGGTGGTGTAGCTCAGCAGTAGAGCACTTGCCTAGCATGTGTGAGGCCCTTGGTTCGGTCCCCAGCCCTGCAAGAGTGACTTCAAAGGATGCACCTCTAATGTCTAGTCTCCGGCACACACACTGAGTTCTTGGTAAACATGGTCGGGGGTATTGCCCTGCCAGCTTACGTGTGGACCCCCTTCCTTTCCATCTCTGTCTCACTCCACTCCCCCAGTTCTCTCCTGCACTCCAGCCAGGTGTTCCCCAAATGGACCTTCAGCTTTCTTGTCTCCAGCGTCTTTGCTCCTGCCTGTCTCACCTTGCTCCCTTCCTTGAAGTGAACCCAAACTGCCTGATCCTTCAAGGCCCTTCTTCCATGAAGGCCTTTCCTGACTACTCCTGAGCCAATGTCATGTGCTCCTGCTGGTCCCCTCTGGTCCAGTGGAACATGCCCAAGATGGCAGCATTCAGCTCCTTCAGGAGACACCATTGACCTCCTTTGCTTTAGAAAACACTGTGCTCAGGACCCCCAGCTCATTAGGGCAGAGCTTTGTTGGAACTCATATCCACCTGGTTCCAGTGCCCACTCTGTATCCCAGAACCCTACTCTGCCCCTTCCCCACGTTTCCAAAAGCACAGTATGTGGAGCTGCTGTTGAGCTGGTGGTAGGTGTTGCAGGCAAGGTCCCTGGAGTCAAAGCTTGCATTTCAGTCCTGGCTCCACCACTTGTCAGCCAAGGACTTTCCCTTCTCTGGACCTCAGTTTCCACATCTGTAGAATAGGATTGCTGGGAGGGTGAAGTGAGATAACGCCTGGACAGGTCCTAGCACAGTGCCTGGCACTCGGAAGTGCTTAATGAGGGTTATGTTGCTTTCTGACCATGAGGCTCTCCTTCAGGGTTATGAGCTCCTCCCCTTTGCTTAGGTGCTGCCTGCTGTGTGGTGGGTGCTCAGCTGATGAGAATTGAATTAGTAAAATGGTGGTGATGTTCATTCCATGCTGGCTTTTCCCCTGAGAATCCTAGGAGCTGCCAGCTGATGCCCCCAAAGCTAACCGGCTTGAGGTCCCTCAGGCCCAGCTGAAGGCAGAAGGTCCAGTTTTTTAGAGACTTGTTCTGAAAGAGCGTTTGGCCCCATTTCCAACTAGCGATTTCTAGACTTCAGTGTCTATACCCAGGGTCTTTTTCAGTGGGAGGGTACTGGGGTCTGAATCCAGGGGTGCTTAATCACTGAGCCACATCCATGGCCTTTTTTATTTTATTATCATTTTAAAAATTTTTGAGACAGGGTCTCACTAAATTGCTTAGGGCCTTACTAAGTTGCTGAGGCTGGTTTTGAACTTGCGATCCTCCTGCCTCAGCCTCCCAAGCTTTTGGGATTGTAGTCATGAGCCACCACACTCTACCTGTACCCGGTGTCTTGCTCTGGGGCTTCTTGATCCCATTAGACGTTTGCATTGAGGTCCTGGATAACCTTCAGGAGGAATGTGAACTGGGTGGATAATCTAGTTAACGAGGCTGAGTGGCTGGTACCTTAGTCATGTCTCCTGGTGAATCAGCTTCCTGAGGGCATCTGCCGGAGGGAAGTTTCTAGATAATGAAGCTTACCCCTTGAAGTATTTAGGGCTTTATTGTTTTCCCCATATTGTTGGAAAATATCCAAAAATGAGTTGCCTACTTTCGGGTCTCGTTGAGCAGACTCCGACAAGCACTGTCGTTACCTTGGCAACTGTCGGCCAAGTGCATTTACCTTTGGGAGTTGGTTGAATCTGTTGGTGCTCCTTGGGGGATGGGCAGGACCACTGTCTCCATCTCAGAGGAGGAAGCCGAGCTTAAATCCTCTGACAGGAAATAGGGCCAGCTCCAGGTCTCTCTCCTGTGGTAGGATCTGTGTTGCTTGCTGTCTGTCTAGGAGCTCTGCACAGAGCACCTTGTCCTGGCTGCTCCGGTGTAATACAGCTAATGCCACCAGCCATCTGCCCCCACACTCAGTGGCCCCAGGCTCACAGGCCTCCATGGTTACTGGTTTATCTTTCCTCCCTGGCCTTCCTACCAAGAAAGCCACTCTGGATTTCATTCCTGTGCAACAGCTGGCTCTGAAAAAGGGGGTGTTTAGGGGCTTGTTAGAATTGTGAGTAAAATAAGAGCGCTGTGGTATCTGCGGAGCTGTTTGGGTGGCTGGGTCTTGTCTTCCCAGCTGTGTTTTGGGTAGGTGCAGCCGTTGGGCCAATGGTTCATGTTACTACCAGGTGAGGAGGAGTGCCCACTTTGGGGGTCAGGTGCACCTGGGGGTAAGTCTGGCACCTGTCAATTCGCGGGGCAAATGACCTAACCTCTGCCAGGTTCAGTTACCCTCAGTGATAAACTGGGATCGATAACATAAGCCTCATTGGGAATATCCCAAGAGGACTCACGGAGACAACCTGCAGGCCCCAAGTTGGTACTAGGTTGGTTGTAGGTATTGCTTTTGTCTATGTGACTCGAAATATGACAAGACAGTGACCATTCACTCATCCATTCATTCCTCAAGTGTGTATGTGCCCCCCATCTCTCCTTGCCTAGTTCACTTTTGTGTACGATGAAGAAGATATCATAATAGCAACAATAGCAAACGTGGCGTGGTCAGTAACATAGCAGGGTGTTAAAGAGTGCAATATATAAGTTGTCCTCTTCGTCGTCGTCAGTACTCATTGTGTCAGGCATGGTGCTAGGTGGGTGCTAGGGATTAGGAAGTGGATAAAATGGCTGTGACCTTGGTTCTCGTGGGGCTTTGCAGTTTATGTTCATCTTACTTTCTCCTTCGCAGAGTCCACCAGGGTTTCAGTGCTGTGTGTTGAAAGATGGATCAATGAGTTGCGCACATAACCTGGAGGGGCTCCCAGGGCCCCCCCACTTGCTGCAGGAGTCGGTTGAATGTGGCTGCCCCTCCCTCTCTGGCTCTCTGGCCCCGAGCTCTTGGTTTTGTCTCAGTCCCAAACCAAAAGTCAAAAGGAGGGAACCGCATCTGTCTCGCCCAAGTCGTAGCTGTGATCTCCGAAAATGCTGAGACCTTCAGAATGCCACGGGGACGAGGGGTCTAGGTGGGGACCTAGTGAGCAGGAAGAAGTCCTGGGTTTGGAGTTAGGGACAGAAGTTAAATCCTGGCTCTGCCACTTGGTAGCTGTGTGGATTATTTTCAGATCATTTCTCTCCTCTGAGCCCTGGTTTCCTCGTCTGTCAAATGCAACAGTGATGGCGCCTACCTTGAAGGGTTGTAGGGAGAAGGAAATGGAAGCAGAATACAGGCTGAAGTTCATTCAAGGCCTCCTCAGTGCCCCCTCCTGAGGGAAGCTCTCTGTGACCCTCCCCAGAGGGTTCGCGCTCCTGCCTCGGAGCACAAAAGACATTTATTTCTACAAGCTCTAGAGCAGTGCTCCCAGCTCCACGTGAGCTTCCACTGGGCTCCCTGGATACAGACTCAGACAGAGAAGCGCATTGTTGGGAGCCTCCCAGGAGGTCCAGCTATTGGGAACTGAACCAGGCAAGACTGGGCAGAAGACAAAGTTGCCTCAGGGGTGGGGTGGGGGGAGAAAAGGCTAATACAGTGGGAGAAATTGACCCAGAAGGAGAATCCAACTTACAAAGGGAGAAGCTGACATGCATGGGGAAAGATGTCACAGGGGGGAGAATCTGACGCTGTGGCGGACACTGGCATATAGCAGGAGAAGCTGATGCATAGAGGGAGAAGCTGATGCAGGCAGTTGCTGAGGTCTTGGCCAGTCCTCCAGGGAGTTCTGGGGCTGGCAAGGCCTCTCGGAGTTGTCCTGAAAGAGGCAGGGGCCAAGCCTTAAAAACATCACCCCAGCCAGGCATGAACTAGAGACCACCCTTTCCCTTCTCCCCTAAGGGGTCATAACCTCGAGACACAGGGAACCTTGTAGCAGGGGGCAGTTCCCAGAGAGTGAGGGTGGGGAGCAGCTGGCATGTCCTCCCTGAAGATCCAGCTAAACATGGAAGAACCAATGGAGAAGTGAACCCAGACCTTCTGCCCACACGGCGCTTAGGGCTATATTTGGTCTATACGTATTTGGTATCTGCGGCCAGCTTGGTAGCCTTGCTTGGGCCAGAATCTTCTCATTAGCCAAGCACGCAGTTGGTGCTTAATAAGAGTCTGTCAGATTTCATTACCAGTAGCCAACTTTGACCCCTCTCTTTGTCTCTTTAAAATACCATCGCCTGCCCATTCAAAAGATGTCTCTCCTTTGTGCACCAAAGCTGCGCACAATTATTTTTTTCAAACTCAGAAGAGAAAAGGGAAGCAAAAGCCTGTGGAGATAGAACCTAATTTTAAAAACCTCCTGCATAGCAAGGAAAGGAAGGGTGGCCAGCACACGACCTGCTCAGGGCCTAGCCTCACAGCATCCACCAGAATTTTGCCAAAGAGGGCAAAATAGTAAACGCACTTGGTCACCTCTCCCCGGGCTCTGCGGCAGGCTGGGTGTTTTGAAGTTTCCCTGGGAAACTTTGCCACGGGGTGAAAATCGAGCCGCAGCTCGGGCACCTGCCAAAGTCTCTAGGCTCAGCTGAGCTATTGTTCACGCTCCAAGTCCTGACGTTATCAGGCATAACCTGATTTATGATGGGGCCCATGTGGCTCACTGGGACACAAGACCCCATTCTCCTCCATTGTCCCATGGGCAGTGTGCCTAATCTGGGTGTCATTACCACTGATGGTAATGAAAACACGAGGTTTACCTGTTACTATGGTTTATAACAGGTAACAGTCTTATTTTCATTGTTTCAACTGGTTCCCACAAGTCCGTGGAGTAGACAGCTGTAGGATTATAAGGAATTGGTTCAGCTTCTCGGGGCCTCCGTTACCCCCTCTCTATGGTGATCATAGGAACTCCTAAGATGTGAGGATTGAGTCATACAATACCCGCCAGGCCCTTAGCATTCTTAATAAAGGCTTGACATTGCTCATAGGGATTATTAGTCTCACTTTACAGGAGGAAGCCAAGTTTCGGAGGGACTGAGTTTACCACCAAGACACCAGGGTTTCAAACGGGGAAAACCCCTGGACAGAGATGCAAGTGGAACCAGGTTTCCCTGAGCTGGAGTGCCATCGTGAACAGTGTATGTGTCATTTGTACTTGAGAACAGAGGGACTCCTGACTCCTCCAAAGGAAAAAGAAAATGTTGAAGAGATGGTGTTGTTCAAAGAAGTTTAAAAAAAATGATACTTGGATTTTTTAATGAAGTCCTTCTTATTTTTTAATATCTGGGTCTAAATACCAGGAAGGATATCATATTCGGAGAGAATTGAAAAAAGCTCTCTGCGCCCTCTGCTGAAGGCTTTCCGAGGCCTGCACAGTGACTGGTTTGCACTCATATGGCCTCGTCTCATTCCAGTCACTTCTTCCCAAACAGGAGTTCCACTGGCAGACAAAGAAGGTGGGACCCTGGCTCCCTGGACCCCTGCTGTCCTTAGGGATGAAGGTCATTGCCCTTCTTGTTGTCCTTATCTCCTGCCATAAGTAGTAAGCCAGATAGGTGGTACCAGGATGCTGTCCTCGCTCTTCCATTGGGGTGGCCCCTTCTGAGGTGGCACTGGGTGAGGGAAGGCCACAAGTCACCGAAACAGGCTGCCACCAAAGTTCTGCTTCTGTTTCTGTTCTGGAGTGTGCTGACCCCAATGCTGAGATCTCAGAACTTCTAGGATGTTGCTGGCTTTGTACTCAGAAGAGGCGCCAGCTGTGGTTCGACCACTTCTGACCCTGGGAGGGTCTTCCTTTGGATGTTAGTTGCCTTTATTTAAAGTCTTGTGGCTTCTGCGCAAAATGGCAGGCACATATCTAGCTAGTTTAGGTGTGGTGCATTATTATCAGAAAGACATTCTAACGATGACTTAAGGAATAACTGGTCACTCTTAGTCATTGTGATCAGGGGAGCAGATTGCATTCCTCTGCAAACTGAAGAAAGTCCCCCTAGGAAAATGTTCTGAGTTTTGGAAAATTCGTAGATTTATTCTGGATTAGTTGAGTAGATATTTGTCCAAATTCATTTTTTAAAAAATGTCTATTTCAGCTGTATAACAGTAACTTTCGGGTCCCTAATCTTAAAAATGTCTAAACTACCCCTAGTGGTGGAATTGACAGCTTTCAAGGTCATGGTATAACAGGAAATTGTATGCAGGAGGGGTCCCTTCTGTTGCCCCACAGCATGTCCTGAAGAGCTGCAGCCTGAGAGGGGTCCCACCTCCCTCCAGGAACTGAAAATGACCCCCCCCCCCTTGGCTCAGGTTGATGTAAAATAAGAAAAGTTCAAAGCTAAGAATGCCAGCCCCTCTGGATATCATCATGCATTACAATTTCACAGAAAAAACAAAATATGTATGAGTTAGGAAAGACAGTCTCAATCCATTTTTTAAAAAGGCAAATATAGGTGGACCAGAAACTTTTCCTCCTCCGAGAGTAGAAGCACCGACTCCTGCCTGCAGCAGGAGGGGGCTTCTGCCACAATAGTGAGGCTTCCAACAGGGCAACGAGGCAGGAAGGTGCCCGGAAAAATGCCCCCAAACTCTGCCTTTGATTTTCTTCTTCAAGTTCATGTTTTGTCTGTATTTTTATTGCAAAGTTAATACTGAGTACCTGCAGCAGCCCCTCTTTACCTTTCCTGGAACCTACTCCTTTCCTACACGAAGGTGTAACCACTCCTAAAACTTGGGTGTTCAATCATCTAGGTCCTTACCCCCCACACACACCTGGAAACACTGTAATAGAAAAATAATACCTGCTCATTGTAAAAAATAAAAACAAATTGCATAGCTGTATATAAAACAACTGTTTCCAGTTGGTTTCTCTATCCACCTCCTAAATCCCATTGCCTAGAGATATTGCTATTAAAGATAATATATCTTCAAAACACCTAATTTTATTACCCACCCTCCATTGGTGGGCACGTGGGTGGTTTCCATTGTTCTGATATCACAAACAATACCGCATAAACATCCTTGTATATATTTTTGTGCCCGCTTCTGGAAGCATTTTGTAGAAGTAAAAATCACTGAGTCCACGTGCATTTGCTACTTTAAAATATGGATCGAGGGTGTCTCTCCTGCCTCGAACATATTTGATTTCTCCTTTGAGGTTGTAAATGCCTGATGATATCCGGAGGGACTGGCATTTCTAGCTTTGAACTTTTCCTGTTAATGTTGCATCAGACCTGAGGGGGCTTCTGCCTCCAGTGGTGATTTTCTACATTTGAGGGGAAGGCAGTGGAGCATTGTCCTAAATGTCATGGAAACCGGGTGCTCATGGTGGGTTAGCAAGAAACCCTGTGTGGCGGGGTAAACCTGGTCTTATTTCTTCCCCAGGAGAGAGGCCAATGATCCCAGCCAGGCCATCACTTTGCTTTAGGGACCTGGTGACAGCCCCCATTCAAAGCACCCTGGTGGGGGATGCCAAGGCTGCGCCATACTCTTTGCCGCTTTTCCCGTTCCTTGTTTCCTCATTGCCGGTAACAGTCCCCACCCTCAGCAGCTTCTGGCAGTTCCAGAGGATGGTCAGCCACATCATGGGAAGGAGAGCCTTCCTCTCCTACTATGGATAGGTCTGCTACTGTGGGCTCGGAGAAAAAGGGATCCCTGTGGACGACCCAGACAGGTGTGTGCAGGGTTCCAAGGCCACCTGCCATTCGATTTGCACTGAAGCTGTAGCTTGAAGCCAGAGAGAGGCAGGGGAAAACCAGGAGCCTTTCATGGCAAGTAGAGAAACCAACTCAGGCCAACGTAAGAAAAGACTGGAAGGGTCACAGGGTGGGACTTGAAGAGCCTGTGCCCGGGGCCAGCTTCTTGAACACGTGACCATGAAGTTGGCCAGGCCAGTCCTCCTAAGGGCCCAACGTGTATATGTGCTGCCACTACCTTGCCGTTTTTGACAAGAGGTCTGCGTTCCCTTCCACACCAGGCCCTGCATGGCACATAGCTGGTCCTGTCCAGAGCACTAGAAGCTATTTTAAAGGAACTGTGTGCTCTTCCCCCAGCCCTTGGATTTTAGGATTACGGGCGTGGCTAGACTACCCTGCTGCCTCCTGGCCCTATTACATGTTCTAGGAGAGAATCCAAGTGGCCCAGTTTGGAAAAGTTGACCATCTGGGTGTGATCACACGGCCCCGACCTGGATTCCAAGGCCTGCTCCTAAGGATGGGGTGGGCGAGTGCGGCTTCCTAGAAGAGGTGACAGCTGGTGTCATCTGGGGAGGGTGTAGGGAGGAAACTGGGTAGTGTGCGTGTTGCTTCATTTGAAGAAATAAGAAGACAAAGTGTTCCTTGCCATGTTCAACCTAGCTGGACAGGTATGTCCCCACCACAGGGCCTGAAGTATCACACCTGAGCTTGAGTCTCCCGCACTTGGTGGTGGAACAGCGGACAGGCCAGGACAGGTGGTCTGCACGAGGACTAATTTAACCCTCCTAGTGATTGTAGGAGGTGGTGTCACCACCCCCATGTTACAGGTGAGGACAGGGGAGGGTCCCAGACCAAGAGCCGCTAAGCCTTGTGGTCCTAAGTGGCAAAACCAGGACTGGAATAGGGTTTGCCTCTGTCATAGACTGTCCCCTTTCCTTGATGATGTGTGCCTCCCGGTCCAAGTTCAAAGGCAGATTCAGAACTGTGAGCCGAAGATGAAGGCCAAGAGCCCGCCTGCAGATGGGAAAGGGAAAGGGAATGGAAACGCCGTCCTTGGCATTCTGGTCTTAGGATGTGAGCTTACTTACTGGCTGTCCCGGGGGGCTCCACATCCCTGACCCTCCTGGTGGAAGAAGCGGGCAGAGGCCAATCCCCTGCTGTTCCCCCCCGGCCCCCACCCCCCAGCCCCCAGCCAGCTCTGAGCACTGAGAGCAGGACTGTGACTGTTCTTGTTGACAGTACTCTCCTTCAAGACTATCCCAGTTCTTGGCACATAGAAGGTGCTCAGGAAAAATGGCTGGACGAATGGAAGAGTCTCAGGGACCCATTTGAGTTCTGGGTCTATCATTCCCAGCCACATGATTTTTTTTATCGTTTTAATTATTTGTTTTTATCTTACCTCCCCTTAGTATTTTTCCCTAATTTGAAATGTCACTATTACTCTTGAAGACACAGGTATTTTCAGCCCTCCCCCCTTTCACGAGGTCTCTATTATGTATCCTTTGTCTTAGGGCTGTGATTAAACTTATTGTATCCACATGATCATGTGTATATTCAAATGATAAGGTTTATTGCTTCCTGCAGGGTAGGATATGTGCTAGGTCTAGGCTACTTAAGGGTAACCATTAGATGATTAGAATGTAAACTCCTGCTACCGCCCTGTTCTTAATTTGTTTTGTATTTCCAGGATAGCAGCTAACTTCACAAAGATTTGTAATCAACAAATTGTTGGGTCTTGCAAATATCATGAATATACTTTTTGTTCTCCCATCATTGCTTCAACATTCTTTTGTTGAACTAAACACTTAACCAACAACTATTAAGTATCATATCTATTAATATGATATATAGCAATTCTCTTTCTCTCTCCTTAGACACACACACACACACACACACACTCACTCGCACGCACGCACACACCCCACAGGCCACCCACATAATTTTGAGAAATTTGCCTTTCTGAATCGATTTTCCTCACCTACAAGATGGGGACAATGACTGTACTGCTCAGGGGACTGAGTCACCAAGGAAACAGCAGTAGGTACTAGGGGGGGCTCAGTGGACGTTACTGGCTGTTTTTATTTATTTTTAATATTACAGTCGCCCAGCGGTAACCATGGGCTCTGCATCCTCAATTCCACCAACCTCACATGGAAACTATTTGAAAAACAACGCGTCTGTTCTGAACGCATATAGGCTTTTTTCTTGTTATTCCCTAAACAACACAGTGTAATATTATTTTCATTGCATTAGGTATTATAGAGGACATGTGTAGGTTATAGGCAAATATTATGTCATTTTACATAAGGGACTTGAGCTTGAGGACTTCAGTATCCTCAGGGATGCAGAACCCTTCCTCCTTGGAACCGAGGGACAACTGTTTTAGTAGTATTCGCCACTCTGGCTCCCGGAGGGGAGACAGGTGAGTCCCTTGCTGTTCCACCTGAGGTCCTCCAGCCAATTCCCCAGGAACCCTTGCACAGATGCCATCAGTCATCTCCCTCTCATCTGGCCCCAGATGCTGTGTGACACATGACTGCTGCTACGAGAGGCTGAAGGAGTCTGGCGGCCAGCCCGTGTTGAACAGCTACCAGTCCCACATCATCAACAAGACGGTGGTCAGTGAGTAGCCTTCTCTGTAGGGAAATGCCTTAGAATCTGGTCTTTCCTTAACCACCACTTCCTTGCTGACCCAGTGGTCTTTTAGGAAATGAGATTTTTTTCCAGATGCTTTGAGATGGAAAGGGGCAAGACCAAGGACCAGAGCTCCTTGGAAAGGGCTTGTTTTATCTCTCATTGGTCTCTCTGCCCAAAGCTGTATTTCCAGCACCTGGCAAATAGTACATGCTCAATAAAAAGTTGTTGACTTGAGATTACATTGTCTTTGCAGCTTCCCTTGGCAACTGTTGCTGTTGCAAACATTCGTCCTTATTTCTGGCATGTGTCAACAAAGCAGCTCAACCGACTTTCAGTTGAGCAAATACTCGTTAAGGGCAACTGCATGCCAGGCATGCAGGTTGGTGCCATGGGGGACACAAAAGTAACTAGGAGGAATATGAGAAGGGAGTTCACAGGATATTGAGGCCACTGAAAGAGGTGGAAAAAGCCAGAGTGGGCAGGTACACTGAGAGTCCACCCATGGGGAACGACCTGGGGTCCCGAGGCGTGGAGCGGCTGGTGGGGTGTAGGTATGGGTTGGGCAAGTGTTGTCTGAAGAGCAAGTGGCTTTGGGCAGTAGCCTTCTGTGAGTCGCACCCATTCCAGCCCGTGGTCTGGGTCCCCCATACGGAGTGGGGCTCCCTTCCTAGGGTGGAGGTGCGTGAACACCTTTCCTCCCTGGTGTGATTTTCCATCAGTGAGGGTTTCTGGAGCTCATCTGTCTCCGTGAGGTCAGGGAAAACCATCCCAAGGACACGCACCCCCCCACAATCCAGAGTGCTCAGTGTGCTGACCCGGGATTCTAACTTGGCTCGTACCCAGACCCAGGGTTGGGACTGTGAGGTCTTCTGGGCACCAGCTGTGAGGATGGACGTGGGGTAGACTGGAGGCTCTGACACTGGCTGGAGAAGATCAGCTTCAGCTCCTCCCGCCGACCCCTGCGTGGCCCCTGCCCCCCATGAGTGCTCCCCTGACCGGAAGCACCCCTTTCCCCAGGGGAGCCCAAGCAGGCTTCAAGCTGGAGCTCTCTGCCCAGGGTCATCCTCAGGCCTAAAGCCAAGCACCTCTTCCATGACGCCCCTAAGGCCACACTGGGAGAGGGGAAGGTGGGGGTGGTGCCCCAGGGCGTTGTTTGTTTCAACACAAGAATGACACCTTCTTGAGGCCAGGGGCTGTCTGCCCCATGAGGAGGGGCCGTGACTGTCAGAGAGGGAGGGATGCCTGGCAAGGTCCGCCCCCCCCCCCCTCGACCGTCCCCAACCTGGTTCCTGGTCGTGTTTTACAGGGCTCCCTCTCTTCATCTTGGTTAAGGTGTCAAGTGTCCCCTTACCGTGGTCAAAAAGGCCCCACTTTTGGAGAAGAATGCTCAAGGGCGCCCTCCTCTGATCGCTCACAAAGTGCAAGGATCGGGAAGAAGGGAACAGGTGGTGTCAAGGGAGGGCAGTGGAATCAGGGGGTGGAGAGAGGCTTCCTCCCCTGGTCAGAGGCCCAGACCAAGCCTCCGCCCTGGCTGCTCACAGGGCAGAGGGCCGGTGGGGACACTCTGTACCTCAGGAGATGGGAGGATGCAGGAAAGTAACTGGGGGTGGGAGGAGGCTGGAGCCCCACCAGGTGGCACATATCCCTTGATTGGCCTGTGCCGGGTGGTGACGAGAGCTGACTGGCCAGCTGGTGGCCTGGGCTGTGCTTTCCTCACGTGCTGCCCTGAGCCTTGCCCCGGGCTCCCGCAGTCTGGAGCCCTCCCTGCCCAGGGGCCTAGCACAGGAGGGGCTGTGTGTCAGCACCGGGCATCAGCAACCCCCAGCAGTGAGCCGAGAGCCAGGCCACCTGGGCTCTTGCTGGATCTGTGGCTGCTGTGTGTTGGGACCCAGGCAACAATTATTCACCTGCCCAGTATGCACCGAGCACCCCTGGGTGCCTGTCCAGTGCCAGGCACAGAGCAAGGTCAGGCCAGGCTCCTCCTGTCCTGCGAGTCACATTCTTATGGAAACTCCAGGTGGCAAGATAGATGCTCTACATGCAGCACCTCGAACCCCAGAAATGGGCCTCTCGGGTGGGTACTATTCTCTCCACTATCAAAGAGGAGGCTGAGCTCAGAGAGGTTGAGTCACCACCACGGTCAGTCAGGGAAAGAAGAGTTGGGGTTCAGAGCCAGGTGGGCCTGCCTCCCACCACCCTGCCCTGTAGACGGTGACAGGCTCATGCTTGTTGGAAGGACTGTCACACAAAGGTAGGCCTCGTGATCTGCAGCAAGCTAGTCAAAAGGTTCAGCCCTGGCCCAGGGAGGGCAACGAGGGCCTCTGGAATGGCTCAGATCTTCCCACTTCTGCTAAAAGGCGAAGGAGCCAGGCAGAGCTGGGTCCCACCCCCACGTGCCCCCTCCCAGCCTCCCCCCTCCCAGCTGGGCCTTCGTCTCCCTGTCTGTACAGCGGAGCTCATCACCGGTGTCTCACAAAGTGGCTGGGAGCACTGAGGAGAGTGCTGGCCTGCAGTGGCTACCTAGTTAGTGCCCTTCCTTTGGGACACGGCGATTTCCTGGTCTGTCCAGGTTTCCTCTTCCCCTCTACTTGGTGGAAAGCACTGGGCGGCCAAGGCTGTTCCGGCCACTCTCCTGGGGTAGGCCCCCCTCCCTACCCCTACCCCTCTGTTCAAAGAGCTGCCCTGCAAGGGTTAACCCCTCCCCAGCCTCCCTTGAGTTCTGAAATCCTGCACCCAAGCCTGGTCCCATGTTGCCTAGCAACCAGTGGCTGCCGGGGAGGGATGTGGTAGGTGAGCCCGGAAGGGAAGGAAGGCGCAAAACAACTTGGTCTGTCCACCTGAATGCCACCAGGAGATCCAGGCAGAGACAGGCCTCTGACAGAGCCCAGGGGCTGGTTTGCTGGGAGGGGACAGCTGCCCTCCAGCAGCCTGGGGGGGTGGTTCTCCCTCCTCTGAGTGGGCTTACATAAGTACTTGGCATTTGCAAGGGACTTTAAGATCACCGGCAGTGACACCCCCCTCCACCCACGCATGCATGCATGTGTCGTGTGGGGAGGAGCCCAGCCTTGGAGACAGACGGTTGGTTCTAGCCACCTGTACTGCTGTCACCTCCGTCTCTGGGCCTCCGATGCCCCCTCTACCAGAGTGGGAAGGCGGAAGTGGCAGCTTCTGGGAGTTGAGTTTGCAAAGACCTTTGTCATCTGCGTGAGCCACAGATCTGGAACCAGATCCTGGCTCCTGGGCCCCGGCACAGGCTCCTTTGGCTGGTGCCCAGGCCACGTAAGGGCAGCCTGGAAGGCCATCAGCAAACGCTGCGGGGGCAGACCAGCCATCAGGGCGGAGAGCAAAAGAGAAAGATACCACCCCTGTCGGGAGGGAGCTTCCCTTCTAGGGGCAAGAGCCCACGACCTGGTCACCATGGAGACACATTCTGATAGGGACCAGGCTGTGAGCAGCTCAAACAAGGTGCCAAGCTAGGGCAAGGTGCAGGCCAGGGGCAGGGGGCCTACTTTAAGTGGCCAAGGGAGGCCTGCGAGGGAGGTCTGAGGCTCGTTGCCAGTGGCAGGAGTGGGAAGGAAGGGAGAGGAGGTTGGCGCTGCCCCAGGTGGGAGTTTTGTTCTGGAAAGATTCCTGTGGCTGATGTGCAGAAGAGGGGAGGGATGAGGAGCCAGGAGGAGACAGATTCTGGAGCCCTGTGGAGGGGTGACCGGAGTTTGAACTGGGGTGGTGGCAGATGGCGGCTGTGCTTCGGAGGTGCAGTTGCCAGGACCTGCCCACAGGTTGGAGTTGGTCTGAAGGAGGGGGAGGCTAATGGAGGCTGGAGGCCTGAGGCCATGGGGTAGTGGCACCATCTACTGACCTGGCGAAATGGGGGAGGAGCGGACCACAGAGACACAGGGGGTTTGGTATGAACCCTGGAGTCTGAGACGTGCTGTGGTTTGGATATGGGTAAGTGTGTCCCCCAGGGGTTCTTGTGTTGGCAGCTTGGTCCCCAGAGTGGCCATGTTGAGAAATGGGGGACTTTAAGAGGTGGGGCCCGTAGGAGGTCACTGGGTGTCTGGGGGTTCTGGAAGAGACTAATGCAGTTCTCACGAGATGATGCTTAGTTCCCACAGAGGGTTGTTTATAAAAGCAAGATGGGCCCCTCCTGGGTCTGTCTGACTTCCGCCCTTGCTGTGTGATCTCCCCCTCTGGCCATGCTCCTGCCATGATGCCATCCACCTGGAGGCAGCCAGGCAAGACCCACAGAGCCACCACCTTGCTGTCTAGACTTTCAGCCTCCAAACCTATGTGCTAAATAACCCTCTTTCTTTGTAAATTACACATCGTCAGGTGTTTTGTTATAGCTATGGAAAACGGACTAATAAAGGAACGTGTCAGACATCCAAGGGGTCGGCAATGAGACACTTGCATTGAAGTCTGGCGCTAAGGCAGAGGTCTGGGCTGGAGGTGGGAATCCAGAATATGTGAGGTGCTGAGACATTCTGATAGGGACCAGGCTACCAAGAGTGCCACTTGAACAGAGAATTGGGGGAAAATTTGAGCCCAGGCTGGGGGCACAGATAGGCCTGGTGAGGGTCTGGGTTAGCCACAGGCAGGAACATAGACCTGTGGCCTTCTCTCATTCATGGAGATGTACTTCATGGAAAGGGAAAGAACATTCTGAAGCCACCAGTCCTTTTCTTCATGCCTCAGTTTCTCCTACAGCACACTCCAAGATGCAGGATCTGATCTAGGTTTGCTTTTAGGAGGAGGCTCCCAGAGATGGCGTTTTTGGCCCAGGGCTGCCTCTTCTTCCCCGTGGTGACAGGCCCGGTCCTACCATGGCTGAGGGTGGCAGTCCCTAGTGAAGGACTGTTGCAGAGATCCACAGAAGAGCCAGGGGCTGGGTGAGCTATGGGAAGTGGAGACGGAAGGAAGGATTTAGGAAGGACAGGAGGATGAGGGGGAGGGAGAGGGCAGTGGGGGAAGGGAGGGAGGAGGCCTGGGAGTTGAGATGCAGGAGAAGAGAGAGGAGGAGAGGAGGGGACAGAGACAGAGACAAGCAGGAAGAGAGAAGGGGGGTGGCTGCCACTGCTGCTCTGGGAGGGACAGCAGAGGGGAGGCCGGGCCTGGGGAGGGGCCTGAGGGACCTTGACAGCTTGTGGCAGATGGGGAAGGGGGAGTGGGAGGGCAGAGGTGGCCCGGGCCTCAGGAGGAGTGGGAGTGGCGTGAACATCCCTGGCACCTTCCCGAGGGCGAGTGTGAGGGGCAGCTGGGCGTGGGGCGGTGACATCTGCCTTGAGAAACAGCGCCTGCAGACGGGCGCGGGAGGACAGCTCCTGCCGCCAGGTGGACGCTGCAGAGGAGGACGGCGGACAGCCTGCAGCCACGCCGGTCCCCTGAGCAGCCACCGCTTCTTCCTGTCACGGCAGCAGTGGGCCTGGCAGAGTGCCCTGCCCAGGAGCGCAGCCGCAGCAGCCTCGCCACCACCGGGAAGGAGGCACTTCTGTTTGTCACCACTTTATAGACAGACACCGAGGCTGACTTCCCCGGTTACACGCCAAGGCGTTTGGTGACCTTCTTCGTCACTCCAACCCCACAGACAGTGGAACTCAGGGGGAGTTAGAATGGGGGGAAGCTGTGTCTTAGACAGACAGACAGACAGACAGACACACACACACACACACAAAACTAGGACCCTGGACACCTAAGAAAAGGCCCCATCTAGTGGCTGCTCAACCCAAGGGCAGACACTGGGTCCCCGAGGCCCACAGGCTCATTCACCTATTCAACAGCTGTTTATGCCGCCGGCTGAGGTGCCAACATCTGTTCTAGATGTTGGAGACGCTGAGCCAGACGGGGGCCCAGCATCCCAGAACTCACGCTCCACAGAGGAGAGGCCCCAAGCAAGTCAACCAATCAGCCAGTGCAGATTGGGAAAAGGAGCAAATGACATAAACTGGGGGACATGGGAGAGTGGCTGGGATGGCCAGGGACAGCCTTTCTGAGGAGGTGGAATTTAATCAAGACCCAAAGTGTAGGATGGATCTTACCCTTTGAAGGTCTTGGAGAGAAAGGTTTCAGACCAAGAGGGTAGCATGTGCAAAGGTCCTGGGATGACAGGGTAAGATGTGTGAGTTAAAAGAGGCTGGAGTCCCTGGAGCAGAATGAGGCTGGGGGTGGGGGTGAAGGTTCAATGAGGAAGGGGAGGCTGGGAGGGTGCAGTCAGGGCAAGTGAGCTCCACGGGCCACCAGGGCTGGGGTGTCTTCCCTGAATAAGAGGAAAGCATAGTGGAGCTTGAAGAAGAGTGAACATAATTCAGGGGACATTTCAAGACTGCTCCTGCTTATTTCCTTCCATTAAGGAGGAAGAGCTGGCGATGACAGGGACTTGGTCATCACTTGGACCAGGATGGTGGAAAGAAGCAGGCAGAGCGTGAAATACTTTAAATGTGGAAATACTTTAAACAGGACTCAGGGCTGGGTGTGGACATGGACAGAGGACCAGGTTGACTCCTAGTTTTCTGGTTCCAGTCAGGGTTGGTGCCATGTATTGAGTGTGGAGGGAGGACAGGCTTGGCAGGTGGAAGGGGCACTGGTCTGCCCAGGGTGCCATTTTGAATGTCCCAGTTGGAGGTGCCAAGCCACCCAAGTGGCATGTCAAGCAGGCAGTCAGAAATGTGAGATGGGCTCTGGGAACATGAGTCCCTTCCCTCCTCCCATGGCCCGTGGCTGCCCGTGTACCTCAGGGTCCTCCATGCAGCCCCCTCCCCACCCCTCGTTTCCATCTAGGCCGCTCACTCCAGCACTGTGGGTGCCCGGATGTGGTGGGGAGTGCTTGCAGATGAAGGGGAAGGACGCCTGGCTCCTTCCCTTCCTGGCCTCAGCCCTTGGCCCCTGCAGCTCCCTGCTCTCCCCAGCCTTAAAGCCATGACCCTGTGTGTCTCTGCAGGTGGACGTTCCCTGGGTCCTGGTGACAGTTGCCTCTACGGGCCTGAGAGTGGTGACCAGCAACCTGCTACTGCTTCAGAAAGAGCTCGCCCACCTACGAGAAAACTTCAAGCCCTTCTCCAGCTGGCCCCAGCACGGCAGGCACCGGCTCCAGGGCTAGGAAGGCCACCAACCCCTTGTCACTCGGCATCTGCTCTCGGGCCGTCCTTTAGGAAGCCATCTCTGATTATCCCCGACAAGCCACCCTTTGGCACTGCCACCTCGGTGCACCTTCTCCTCCAGCCCCTGAGGACTGGAGGTTAGAAGTGAGGCGAATTCCCTGACCCGAGGGTAGAGAGGGACCACCAAGGTCTCCTGAATAAGTGACCTATCCAGACAGTAGTCAGTGCTGGAAGGATAAAGCAAGGGGTGGAGCAGACAGGAGCTCCCAGCCCCCTCCCACAGGGATCCAGAAGCAGGGAGCCCTACACTCTCCCCCTGCCCAACCCCAAATCGAGATGCCAGGCAGACCCGGGAACCTGCCTACAACAGATCTACCTGGGAACCCTGGGGACAAAGCAGAAATATTGGGAAATGGGATTCTGGGAGCCACACCTGGTGTCTGGCTCTCATTTGCTCCAGAGCTGCCCCCTGGACACCCACAGGTAGGAGCAGCTTGATGCTGGTTTCGTGTCTTGGGTCACCAGGACATGTCAGCAGCCCCTGCTGCCACGTGGATTCATAGCCAGGAAGATGCCAAGAAACGGGAAAGAGGGCATCAGAGGAATCCCAGATTTCCATCCACGTTTAGAAGGCTCTGGTCACTCCAGACTTAAATTCTAATAAACGTCCAAGTGATCTCATCGGGGCGGATTCTGATGTTTAAGGCCCCAGGTGGAACCGTAGGTGGCAAAACCACCGTGATTGTCCTTGCCTCGGGATATCCTCATCTCTCACCTGCAGAGCGCAGCTCAAGAGCATGTGTTCCTAGCAAGAGGCCAGTCTCCCTTCCCGCCCTTGCATCTGAACCGCGTGTGATTTACTCAGAACGCAGAAGTCGTGGAAGTGACAGGCCCTAGGTCTCGGAGGTCCAGGGCACTTTTACTCCCTAGGACGTGGGCTCCCACTGGGAGAAGAGGCCTGGGCTCACCTGCGGAGAGACAGCGCCCACCTGGATCAGGTACACGTGTGCGCGCTCGCCCCAGGTCAGCCAAGCTGACTCACCTCTGGCCACACGCTCATGAGACAGCGTCATAGGGACAAAAGCGACTCCCCAGCTGGTCACAGCATGCAGAGCTGCGAGCTGCTGAGAGGCTGCTCTTTCAAGGCAGGACGCTGTGGCGTGGCTCGTCATGTCTTTACTAAGTTGAGATTCCTGGGCCTCAGCACTGTGGCAGACACAGAGCCCACTGAAACATTGTGACATGGTCCCTGCCCCTTCCCTGGTAAGTGTGGGAGGAGGGGGTCAGACGTGTCATGAAGCACACAGGAGGAGCGGTGCTCATTTCAGTAGGTCACCCAACACACATTTATTGGGCATCTGCTATGTGCCAGCATGGTGCTGGGTAACAGAGGTGTAAAGAACACACATACACACATATACACACGCGCGCGCGCACACACACGTGCATGAACAAAATTGGGTGTAAAAGTCCTGGGGGAAATGCTGCGCCATGGTGGCTGAGTTCATGCAGGAGACAGCCAGTCAGGAACCAGGGCCCCTGGGCTGGGCTGGCTCAGCACCACGGTCTTGCAGTAGCCTGGCCTACTTCCTCGTTCCCCGCCTGCACCAGTACAGAAGGGGTCACCGCAGAAGGGAAACTGAAGCCAGGGAGCATCAGGAAGGGTCTGAGGGGTCTGTGAGAAAGGCAGGGTGGCCGGGCAGAGCCAGCAGCACCTGCCCTGGAAAGTCCCGACCACAGCGGAGACCAGCCCCAGACAGGGTGAAGGAAGAGGCTGGGCGGAAAAGCTGGGCTCAGCGTGAGATCCAGGCTGCTCCCAGGGGCCCCAGCACCTCGTCTGGTAGGAGAAAGGACGGGCCTGGTTGGGTGACAGCCTGTTTGGTGTAGAGCCTGGTTCTAAGAGGACAGAGGTGGGGCTGTAGAGGGCCGGCTCCATTCACGGGGAAATCTGGCTGTCCTTGAGTCACTCATCTGTGTGAGGACAGGCTCCAGGCCTTGGGAAGGCCCAGTGGGGGCGGGCAGAGCCTCACGGCCAGAGGCGCCCACAGCAGTCCCCTCCTCTGCCTACCTGCCTTTCTCTAACACAGCAGAAGCTCCTTCCCCATCTCGGCCCCTCTAGGCCCAAACCCTGGGTGTCAGAGTCTCCTTCTCAACTCCTAAAACCAAGCTGTTGGACCACCTTCCCCTTTCATCCCGACTCCATATCCATAAAATACTAGGTCGAATGTTTGCATGAGAAATAAAACATGAGGAGGAAAAAATCTAGCATCTGAGCACTTACCACAGTCTCTGCATCCCACCCTCCTGCCGGAGCCTGCTCACCTGGGCCTGGGTCACTGTAGCCGCTCTTTACGCTTCTCTCCGCAGCCACCCTGCCCCCTCCATCTTCTCCACACAGCATCCGGCCAGCAGGATGCCAGGTCCCATGCCACCCCTGCTCCTACCCCCCACGTCTTTACCATGCTCCGCCATATGGCCAGCCTCCCCACAGCACTTCCCACTGTCCTCCACCTGTGTGACCTTGAGCAGCCAGCCTCCTGCCACCCAGGGTTTAGGCAAGATGGGCAGCTATGACCAAGGCTCAGCTGCCAAGTGGAGGAATGGGGTGGTCGTGGGGACCTAGTGATGTCAGCTGCCGTGGGGCACTGCTGTGAGCTCCCACGGCCAGACTTTGAACACAGAGGGGTTTTACAAGGACTCCCTTTAGATTTTAACCAGCCACCTTTCTCGATGTCTGGGTGGAGGGTGGGGGTTGGGGCTCCACACCTCACCCAGGAGTGGCGGTCACTCTTTGGGGTAACTGTATGTGTGGAAGCCAAAGGAGGCAGAATTGCTCTTACCGCATCCCGCTCTGGGACACCACAAAGTCTGGAAGGGCCTGCGACTGTGGCCTGCAACATGGGTGACAGTCAGCCTGCGAGGAGTGGGTGGCTGGGCCTCTGGGTCACTGAGTGCACAGGCTGGGGGCTCAGGCTGCTGGCCAGGCACTGCTGAGTCACCTAAGGGGCCCAAGAGCCTAAGTGAGGGAGTAGGGGAATCAGGACATGACCCCAAGCCTCAGTTGCTGGGACAGACAGCCTCCAGGGACTGAGAGCCCACATGGAGCCAGGCACTTGGGATTCCTGAGCAACCTGCAGGCCCGGGTGGCGAAAATCCCCAACTCACCAAGGCAAGAGGGGACTGGCTCAGGGCCACCCAGGTGCAACCCAGCTGCCACACCTTGAGCTCCCAGCTGTCTTCTGTAGTCTTGTTCCAGAAGAAACCCAGAAATGGAGATCCGTGGGGAAGGGCTAAGCTAGGAGGCTGCCCCCGGGGCCAGTGCTGCCCTGCTGGGGGCCTGGTTCTTGTTGTGGCCGGTGCTGGGGAGGGCAGGGATTTGTGAAGTCGGGGTGAGCAGGGGTGAGGAGGCTGGAGCGGCCTGGTCTTGCATAAAGGCATTGGGGTCGGGAGGGCCTCACGCGAGCCCCCACTCTCTGGGCCTCAGTCTCCTCACAGCAGTGAACATCAGCCCCTTCCTGGGGCGCTTTCTCATCCCCTGTCTTACTGACCACCAGGGGGACCCCAGGAAGTACTTTTCCCATTTCACGGAGGAAACTGGTCACAGGTGGCCAGCTGGAACGGGGTCAGCTGGACGGCACACCATGGCTTCTGATTCCCCGTCTCTTGCTTGCCTTTCTTAAAAGGCAAATGTTGGACCCGGAGCTCGCTGAGGTGAAGGCTCAGGGTCAGATGCAAACCCTCCAAGACCTGGAGTCATTTACTTGGCTTCTCTGGGCCTGATTTATAAGTGAAGCTGGGAATAGCCTTGAGTAGCCCCGTCCCAGAAGCCACCCGAGGATGAGTGAGAGACAGCCCGAAGCTCAGGGCAGTGCTGGAGGGCAGTAAGCGCTGGCTGGTCTGTCTTCCTCCTGAGCCCTGGACCCCCTGCCGGCCAGGCCGGTCCAGCAGGGCTGTCCTTGGCAGGGTGACATATTTTGGTTTTGTTCTGCTGTATGCTCTGCCTCCAGAGGCTGGAAGCCTTGGTATTTCTCTCCAGACTTTGCTTGTTGTCACAGTTGGTGGTATCAGCTGCTTGTTAGAAAGCCACAACTGGGGAAGCTGACAGCCAGTGTTGCTGTGCCAGCCTCTGGGAGGAATTCATGGTCAAGGCCAGGCCCAGGGGGCGGTGGCTCGAGGCCCAGCTGTGACCAGAGTCAGGTGAGGCTCCAGGGGCCTGCTGTGGTTGAGGGCAGTGGTGTCCTTGGAGCCTTCCTCTCTGCCTCCCTCCTCTCCCCCTCCCCTCCCCCTCCCCCTTCCCCTCCCCCCTTCCCCATCCCCTCCCCCCTCTCCCCTCGGCCCCACATAGAGGGAGCCAGGTTTTCTTGCTAAGCCACAGCTTTGGTTCTACCAGGTTTCCGATTTGTCATCCAGGAGATGACAGGCAATCCACCTCCTGCAACCCCTTCCCCACTTGTTCCTGTTTCCCAACCTGACCTGAGGACTGTCTGTCCAACACATGACTGAAGGCCACCACTCACCAGCTCTGACATGTCCTACATGCCAGGCCCCATGCTGGGCGCTCCCTTTCCTGACAGTATTCTGTCCCCAACCCTCTGATGTGGCTTCATTATTAACCACACTGTACCAAAGGGAGAATATTGAAGCTCTGGTGGGGTGACAAAACCCACCCAAGGTCACATGGCCTGGGAGAGTCAGAGCTGAGTGCCACCCAATTGATGCTCTTTGTGACAGGTGGCCTTGATGATGAAAAGATGGCGGAGGCGATGGTGAAGATCTTCTTGGGCTCTGCTGGGCATTGTCTCCCCATGGGTCCCCCTTCACTGCAGGTCCAGGGCAGAGGGGCAGGAAGTGTGGACAGCACTGGTGGTGACCAATAATGTCCACGAGGTGTCGCCCAAGTCCTAGGAAACAGTTGGTTCTAAAGGAAGGTCTTCAAGCTACCAATAGGGGAAAGAGGAAGGGAAGGGAGGAGTCTCCGCAGAAGGGAGAAGACAGACCTGGCTCTGGGTAGAGATGGCAGCCCCCAGGTCAGCAACCAGCCCTCTCCTCAAGCCTCAGCGAGGAAGACTCACCAACCTGGAAAGTGTGGCAGGATGTCCCCAGGGTGGGAGAGGCCCGGGGTGTAAAGCAGGGAGCGCCCCTTCAACAGTGGGACCTGTGCCCCTCCCTGGCACCTTCACCCCCAGGGGCAGCCAGTTATCAGCCGGGTTCCACCCTAAGGGCCTTTGGGGCACCTTCAGGACTGCCACAGTTAGGAGGTCATCTTCTGCTCCCCACACCACCTGGCACCAGATACAAAGGTCACGAACTCCCACTTCTGCTCCCCTTCTGGCCCTGGGCTCCCCGGAGCCGAGGCTCAAGGCTCAGTCTTGAATGGCTAAGTGGGCCATTGGTACTGAGTGGCCCCTGAGTGGACAAACCAATGGGTGGCCGGGCCAGGGCTTTCCACCTTTAAGGAATTCAGCCCAGGAGTCCCTCCTTCTTGCAGTGTCTCAGGAGAGCTCTGTCTACACTGCAGGATACCCAGGCTGCTCTGCTGAAGGCCGTGGTGGTGTGGGGAGCCCATTTGTTCAGCCTGTGTCTCCCCAGGGATCACCCCAACATGTCCCCAGGAAAAACCATGGACCTGGAGAACATCGGAAGCAGCCCCTCTGGCCACCATACCCGAGGATACTCACACCCAGACGACAAGAACCTGAGTAGGGAAGGGGACCCGGCTGGGACTCAGGACCTGCTGTCCTGCCGCATTCTCGTGTGGCTTCCCTGTCACTGACCCACTTCCCTTCTAAGAAGTGTTTGACCTTGGAGCTGACAAAGGACACCATCTCCGGCCCTCCCTGACCCCTCCCCCACTGGGCGCACAAAGCCCCGCCTCCAGCTGTCTCAGTGGCTGGCACAACAAGCTTGTGACCCTTCAGGCCAGAGGTGTGGTTCCATTTCACAGATGGCATAACCGAGACAGCAGAGCTGGAAAGAGAACAAGATTGGCCAGTACCCAGGACCTCCTCACTCCTCCTCCCTGCCAGGCTGCCCGTCATTAAGGAGGTGCCAGCCCGACGCTCAGGATTCCCAGCCTGGTTTATGGCCCGTGTGACTTTGGCAGGTTGCTTTCCCTCTGTGGGCCTTGGTGGCTCAGAGGAGGGAGTGAGGATGGCTGAAACTGGAAAGCCTTGGCCCTGTCTTGCTATCACTGCCCCATGGCAGGACCCAGGCCCCGCTGCCCGCGGCCTTGACACTGCTTTCCAATGTTCCCACCCTCTGCCTCTCTGTGCTGGAGCAGGGCCACTTCAGCCATGGGCGGGGGACAGGCCATGTCAGCTACTGGGTTTGGGGGAATCTGTCTTCCAAGGGATGAAGACCTGGGAGGGGTCCCTGTGTCCCCCTCTCACTGCCTGGCCAAGGAGGACCCCACAGTAGGAAGGGAAGTCAGACACTCAGGATCCAGAGTGGGGTCTTTATTAATTTGCAGAGGGGATGCGGAGTCCTGGGGGTGCTCTGGGGGCTGTGGCCTCCTGGAGTCTGGGGTGAGGTAGGGATGGGTGGACCCGTAGCAGCAGACTCTCCTCCTGCACATTGGCCCAGCATCCAGAGGGGAGGGTGTGTGCTTGTGAGGAGGGGCCCACAGGTCAGGGGTCAAGACCCTGAAGGAGACTCCAGGTACCCTGTCCCTGCTCTGCCCCTGGCCTGGTGGGAGCCTTGACCCAGGGTCTTGGGGGCCAGCCGAAGAGGGGTGGAGCAGGGCGGCTTGTTGGCTGGGCTCCTGGAGAGTAGACAAGGGAGATACACGTGACTGGGCAGGTCTGGCAGCACATGCAGGTGACCATCGTGTCCTGAGGTGAGCCTAGGAAGAGGCCCCCATGCCGAGTGACCCCATTGCAGCCTCCCCCTTAGTCCCAAGGCTGCTATTCTAGAAGCTGCTGCCTGGGGAGGCTTCTGGCCCATCCTGCCATCTCTTCCTGGACGTCTCTCCCGGCCTCCTCCCCCTGGCTTGGCTTTCCCTCCTTAGTGACAGTGGGCACTGCCCTGTGGGCACTGCCAGGGCAGGCTGAACTTTCTGAGGGTTGTTCCCAGTGTCCAGGCAGGCGCAGCCTCTGGTGGACATGGTATGAAGGTGGATGAAGGCTGCTGACCTTGAGGTGGAGCTTGAGGGAATAAGTGACCACGGGAAGGTGCACCTGGGGGGACAGCAGTGCTAGGCGCAGCGGAGAAGCCTCACCTCAGCCTGCAAGTCCCCAGGTCCACGGGTGTCCCCACCCCAGTGCCTCTCTCATTCTCTGGACACCACCCCTTCTAAAGAGCTGGCCCTTGCCTTCTCTCCTGGCTCCCATCCCCCTGCCCACTCCCCCCACCCCGTTGCCTTCTGGAATTTTCTTCCCAGTGTCCTTCCCTTCCACCTTTGTGTCCCTCTTCACTGAGGTGGGTCAGGTGAGCTCCTTCCCCATGGACAGGACTCCGGACACCTGGCTCCCCTTGCACAGGGCGATGGGGTCCTTGACCTCCTGCCTCTGGTTGCTGCAAGCGAGGGCCTGGGGGCCGGGCCCTGCGTGCTCCCGTCAGGGTGCTCAGGGGTCCTCCTCAGGTGAGTGGTGTCCTGCGGTGGGGGTTGGGGATTATATGTGCATGGGTCAGAGAGGCAAGGAGAGGGGCTGTAAGTGTTGCGGGTATATTTGGGTGTCCCCATCCTGTCTCTGTGTGCTCAAGGGAGTGCCACCCTGCACCTGACGCCTGGCTGCATGTGGGCTCAGGCGTCTGCTCAGAGGCACTTTGAGCAACAGGGATTTGGGGGCTGGGACCTGTCCTCTGGACCTGCACCCCTGTGTCACCTCCATGGATGTGGGGTGGACCACCTGCTGTGTTAAAGGGCTCTAGAGAGCCACAAGCCCCCAGAGCAGAGGAGAATCATCCTAATCATCCTGCAGGGCTGGCCAGGGACCCCAGAAGCCACGCCTCACAGCCCTGTCCATGCCTGGGAGCTGGGTCCCGGGACACAGCCCAGCATGTGCCAGAGGCCAGGTCTTGGAGGCTCAGAGAATCAAGCTGGGCTGACAGAGAGGACTCACTCTCACCTCCCAGCTCTTGCCTTCCACACTCAGGAGAGACCCCAACAAGCCACACGCTTCCCACCAAGTCCAGAACCAGCACCAGGACAAAGTCATGTCCAGAGCTGGGCTGGAAGAGCTGGTGGCCACAGGCAGGGCCGGGTCTCCCGGTCCTCTGAGGCCAGACTTGCTGCAGGGCTCCTGGGCTCCTGCCCTGGTCCCACCCCTGTCTGCTCCATCTGTCTGGTCCCCAAGACAGATCCTCTACCCACTTCGCTCAAACCTCAGGAGTGCTAGGGAGGGGCAGGGGTCACTGGGAAGTGGTGTCCGCAGATGAACTCTGGGGGTGGGTCATAGATGCTGCAGTTGGGCGTGGGGCCCTGGCAGTAAATGTTGAGGTAGCTGCGGTACTGCTCCCGGTACGTCTGGTTCCTGAGACACAGAGCCACGCTCTTGTCACATTCGCACGTCTGCTTGTCACAGTCTGTCTTGTTGAGCTCGCCTGTGGGGGTGGGGTGAAGGCTGTGGGTGGAGGCCCGGGACATGGGCACCTGGAGCACAACTCTGAGAGCCCAGTGGCCCTCGGAATGTGTTCTGGGGACAGTAGCACCAGCACCACCCTCGGGCCATGCCCCAGCCTTCAGGTCAGCTGCTCTGGACCGGGGCCCAGCCGTCCATGTTGTCACAAGCCCTTCGGGTCACTCTGGTGCAGGCTAACATTGGGGAACCACTGAAGTTCAGTTCGTATAGTTGAAGTCCAGCATCGAATAGTTGGGGAAACCGAGGCCCAGAAATGGAGTTGGGTTTACCTAAGTCACCCGAAGAAGCAAAGGCTCACCCTGCAGGTTATCTCCATGCTCAGACCTCCTCCCTCCAGTCCCACGGGCAAGGACCCCCACCCTGGAGGGAGTGGTTAGCAAGGACTGTAGGGTACCAAGTAGCACTTCCTCTGGTTCATAGTAGAGCTCCTTAGTACTCACACCGAGCGAGTGCTTATGCTAATTTTTAATTCTATGCTAATATTAATCTTCTATGAACATTTACTTTTTGATGTCCATGCATCCCAGGCGTGTGTGTGTGTGTGTGTGTGTGTCAAGGAAGGGACTCACTGCACGCAATCACGGTGTCGTTCTCCATCGAGAAGTCATAGTGGTCCACGTAGGGGCGGCAGCCCTGGTCAAAGAGTTTCTGGTAGCAGCAGTCATGAGCATGGCAGCACCTGGAGGCGGCAGAGGTGAGCAGGCAGGGGCTGCCAGCCCGTCTGTCTCCCCCCAGCAGAGACCTTGGGTCATCTGTAGGCTCCTGGCCCCAAACTCATCTGTCGGCCCTTCCTGAGTCAGACCTTTTCAGACTGCTGCCCAGAGAGGGATATTATTTGCCCAAGCTTACACAGCCGGCCAGAGCTGGGGCTGGTGCCAGGGCTCTTGTCCTTGATTCTGCCTCTTTGTCCCATCCCCAGGGCTTCCCGAACTAAAGCCCAGGAAGTACTGCAGGGCGTGTGTGGCGGGGGTGGGGTGGATCGGGTGGTCCAGCAGCGTGGTCAGGGTGGAGGAGAGGCCTGGGCTCTAGTGGGTGCAGAGGAGCTCTGACTCTACTCCGAGGCTAGGCCTGGCTGCGCCTGATGGCCAGGGAGGGGCATGGTCTGGAAAGTCAATGGGCATTGGAATATCGAGGACAGGAAGCAAACGCAGACTGGCTGTCCCCACCTCTTATAGGACTGAAGTCATTGCCAGTATGCATTTATTAAGCTCCCCATGATACTAGACTTGGTGCGGGCTGCTGTTGGGGAGATAGGAGCAGAAGCCATGGCTTTTGGGAGCCCCAAGTCTGATGGCAGAAGCATAGTCTTGCCCTCAGGGCAGCACCCAGTCTGATGGGGCTGAGTGACACACCCCTTGCCTCCTATGGGTGTTTGGGGTCATAGCAAAAGTTTGGACAGGGAAGGGGTTGAAGTCCTGTCAAGACCAAGACCAAGACCTTGGAAAGTGCCCCGTATCAGGCTCCTGGCCACTAACCTATCCAACAAGCCTGATCCCTGGGGGAGAGGCCCCTCTTCCTCCTCACAGAGATGGAGTGACCTCAGCTGCCCTACCTGGTCCCGTCGGAAGCCCGGGTCTCCGGCACCTACCAGTCTACCTCGTCCATGGGCAGGCCGCGGCCCCCCAGCCCGCAGTAGCAGCCGTAGCCCACGAAGGACAGGATCGCGCTTCTGCCTGTGGCGGTCTCCACCATGGACTTCAGGTTGAGCAGGCTGCCCTGGGCTATGGACAGAACTATAAGAGAACGAGGGGCTGCGTGAGTCCCTGCCCCATGACTGCCCCCCACCCCAGGGCCAGGGAGAGGGAAAAGAAAGCAGGAAGAAGCAGAAGAAGAGGAGAGGTGAACAGGGAACTGGAGGAGAGAGAAACCTACAAAGTCCTGGCCTTACCAAAGCTCTACAGCCTGAGAAGCCAGATGTACAAAATCCTAAACCGCTCCACTCCCTGCAATCCTCTGTGTTGTTATCCCAAGGTATGGATAAGGAGACTGAGGCTGGAGCACTCAGTCACTTGCCCGGGCTTGTGTGAGAAGGCGGTGGAGACAGGTCTGTTCCAGGGGATGAGGGTTCCTCACCCACACCCCTGCCACCTGGCTGTGCAGATGCGTCATAAATCCTGGTAAGTCCTTCGCAGGTTGGAAGTATCATAAGTCAAAAATGCCTTGCAGTCGCCTATTCTACCAAACACCCCAGCTTAGCAACAGAGTCTACTACAGGGCGGGGGCTTCCCCTCGTGGTCGGGGGCTGACTAGGAGCCACAGTGCTGTCCAGCATGTGACAGAAGATTGCAATGCGTGTCACTAATCTAGTAAGAGATCCAAATTCAAAATCTGAAGTATGGTTTCTCCTGAGTTCATGTTGTTTTCGCGCCATTGTAGGGCCGAAAAATGAAGTCAAGCCATCGATGGTCGGGGAGCATCTGAACACGGTCCTCAAAAGGGCTGTCCAGCGCCTGGTTCCCTGGAAGGGGCTTTGCAAATGCCACATGCTGTCATAAACCCCAGGGGTTCATTTCTGCTCCCTGGCCTCTTCCTGGTATTCCTTGTCAGGCCCCCACCACGGTCCTGGGGTTGGAGTATCTGAGGATTATGCAGGCATGGAGAAAGCGCTAGTGCAGGGGCACTTCTTGCACCTGCCCAGATGCATTCTCCTTGCTGACCACTGCTTCCCTTCTCTCTTGTGGTCCTTGCTGGTGTTGGGCTCTGAGCCACATGGGCGGCTTCTACATGCCTTCCTGGGCTCCACCTACAGTTCTTACCTGGGTGAAGCCTCCCCACACAGCATCAGGAGAGCCACTCTGTCCCCATTTTATGGATCAGAAAATTAAGGCTTGCCCAGGTGTTGCAGGCTGGAAGAGACAGAACCGCAGCTGGGAGGCCAACCAGCACACAGTATAGATCCTATCTGCACCCCTAGCCCCGGGCTCCTTCAGCTGCACCAGGGTCAGCTGCTCGGCTGAGTGCCCCGTCCCCTGCTCTCCCCAGACATTCCCACCCACCCTGCCCTGCTGCATGAACAAGGTGTTCTGGGAGATCAAGAAAGCCAGGGATTTCAGACACTGGAGGCTCGATGAGTCCCCAGCCCACTCTTGCTTGCTTCTTGAGACAAGGTTGTTCTGCATCTCTAATGAGGAGAACTCACTAAAGATGCACCTTAGCGGGAAAAGCTCAGACTCTGGAGTCAGACAGACCTCAGCCAATAACTAAAGCTCCCTGGAGCTCCATGTTCCCATCTGTGAATTGGGAATAACAATCCTGACCACGAGAGATCTGCAGGTCAGTGCCCAGCTAGTGCTGGTACTCCGTGCCCCCTCTTGGGGCTTGGTGGCCCCCAGTCAGGCCTGCTCAATTCTCAGAGGGTAGAGGCTGGGAATCCTGTTCCTCCTGAGTCTTCCTGGGTCTCAGCTCTTTGGTCACCATCATTATAGAGAACAAGGAGCAAAGAAAAGAGGGAAGACCAGGAAGAAATGAAAGATGGCTTTGAAGAGAACTGTGTGGCACCAGGGGACTGTCTAGCCAGGACCTGGGGGGGTGGGGCAGAAGAGGCCCTATGTCCAGTGAGCTGAGCCCGTCCTGAGCTGCAGACCAGGCGCTGGCCTGAAGGTGCTGTTGAGGACAGCACGATGAGGGCTGGCCCCTCCCTGCCCCCTCCCCCTCTCTGCTGAGCCTTGCAGGATAAGTGTGTGCAAAGCTGCCGGGAGCCACCAGGCCGGCTCAGGTTTCTCCATCAGTCCTGGGCCCCCCCCCCAGACAACTCAAAACCTCCTTGAACCTCCCTTCCCAAATCTGAGAACTGGGGACCATGACACCTCCCTCATGGGTCCCTTGGAGGTTCAGGTGCCACCTTGAATATGTGTACAGAGCACCTGGCCCAGGAAGTGCCTCAAGAAAGGACCTGGCTGCCTTGGGTTCCTGGCTGCCCCCGTCCCCACCTGCTGCCCAGATGTTCCCTGGGGGTCAGCACCAGGCTCCAGGCCCCGACCATCCGCCACACAGGGCGGGAGAGGAGTGAGGCACTTACCGGTCACACACAGGGTGGACTCCCTCACACAGCCTCTACACTCACACACTCTGCTTACACACGCACAAATACACACCCAGGCGCCTCACCCACTCAGCTTACACCTCTTACACCGACACTTGTGCACACACACATGCCTGCTACCGGCACCTCACCCGCACACACCTGCACACAGCCACACTCTAACGCATCACGACTGTGCTCACACACACGAAGCCACGACCAGCCAATCCCCGTGGTGTGGCTGAGCGCGAGTGGGAGTTTTCTAATGACAGGCCGTTTTCCCATGAGCCGCCAGTCCTTCCTCATGTCTGGCCACCTTGAACCTCATCTTTGTTTCTGGAATGTCTTTCTTTTCCTCAAACCAGGCTGTGTCCAGGGGTGTGAAAAGCCAGCAAGAGGTTCTGCTGACCTCCCATGCATCCGGGGCACCTGCCACGGGGATCCCTGTATGTGTGATGGGGTCTGATTTGCCTGTGACAATCCTGCAGGGTGGCTGCCCCCAGTCCGTGGTGCCTGGAGTCCCAGCCTGTGAGAGAAGCTCCCTGCAGAACCCCCACCTGCCAGGCGCAGACTCTGGGGACACACCACAGGGAACCCACCCTCGAGACACAAGAGGCTCAGGTGCCAGCCCCGACACACTCTGTCATGTGTGGCACACAGAGACACGCCCCTGTGCTCAGAACTCCCCCGCCCCCCACACACAGACAGACGTGTGTCTGGCGGCACACTCACTCCTACGCATGCTGAGGTACAGAGCGCCCAGTGAACACTGTATTTTACGACCTGGCTCAGCCCTGTGCCTGCCTCCCTCTGGCTCATAAATGCTGAAGGGCCTGGCGTGTGTAGGATGGCCCAAGGAGTAAACAGCCCCAGGGGAGAGGGGGAAGCCTGACAGGAAGCCAGAGAGAGGAAGGCAACTCAGGCCAGTGGAACAATAGGTGCCCAGGGACACAGGAGAAAGACTGGGAGCCATCAACGAGGGCCTGTGCTCACCACGACCGGCCAGGACAGCGATGACGAGGAGCTTCACGCCCAGGCTGGACCTGAGAGAGAGGACACCCTGAGCCTCAGTTCATCTCCCCACCTTCCCGCAGTTCTGGGCCTCAGCCCAGGAGCCACCCATGCAGTCCCTCGATGCCCCAGTTACTGCCACCCCAGCCCTGTGACAGCATCCCACACCCGCCCTGTGCCTCCTGGAGGAGCACCCAGGGTGGCAGAGCCAGGATGCACTGGAAGCATCTTCCCTCCACCCCTCCGCTTCCAAAGCAGGAAGCCACAGTCTCAGACCAGAGCCACCCCCGCCTTCCACACTCCAGAGAGGCCTGGGACCCAGAGTCAGTGACCCAACCTGGCAGCTGGGCAGCTTAAACCCACAGCCAGCAGACATGATGGTCCCTGGATGGTTCCAGCCCTGACCACAGGCTGATCCCTTGGCTTTTCTGGGCCTCAAGTGCCCTGTGAGGGGTGGCCAAGTGGTCCCAAAGGCCCTTCTAGTGCTGAAACTACAGGGACAGAGCTCAGCTCTGCACTCAAAAGCTCAGAGCTTCCATTTGGGGAAAAGTGGATTCTAGGAGCCATCCCTCACCCATCCCAGCACCCCTCCATGGAGAGTTCCATCCCAGGGCAGGAAGCACCTACCTGAAGGTTCTGGAAGGGGCAGAGGCCCTGCAGCTTGGACCCCTCCACGCAGAGCAGCATCTAACCATCATCTTCTTCCTGAACCCTCTGGGGTTGGCCTGCGCCCCATCTGCCATGCTCTGGGTTCCGGGGGACCAGCAGCATAAGTATTGAGAGGTCCCTGATGCATTCCTCAAATTCCAGGGAACAGGCCCCAGCTTCACGCTCCTCGCACACTGGCAGGGTAGAGCCAGGGCGATGCCCCGGGCAAGTGGCAGATGCCCTAGAAAATGGAGGCTCCACCTCCTCCTCCTCCTGCCTCAGCCCTGCCCCGCGCTGCCTGGTGAAGTCCCACCTCCAGCGTTCTCTGTCTGGCCTGCCCCTCTGAGGGGTTCCTGCACCTGACCAAGAGTTGGCCCCTCCCCAGGGATCTGAAAGGAAATGAGTCCAGAGGCCTCCCTATCCCCATGGGAAGATGCGAAAGTCTTCCATGACATTTACCAAAGGTGCACTTTGTTCAAGGGCAGCCATCGTGACAGGTGGAGGGACCACTGCCCCAGGGTTTTGCAGCGAGCTTCAAAGGAAAAGTGAGGGTTTCTAGCCAATGAATGGGTGGGTGGAAAATTACCAAAAGAAAATACTGGGGCCAGAAGGTTCTGGAAAATGACCTGATGGGCTTCTTGCTGGGTGACTAGACATCACCAGGTGATGGTGGAGGCTGAGGAACTGACCAGGTGTGGAGGGTGATCAGGTACGGAGTAGGGAGATTCCAGCCCAACAGACGGGGCAGGACTCTCTAAGATAGGGTGCCTGGGAAGAGGGGACCTGAGTGGAATGTGACCAGGAGAGACTTTTGTCAGGGAGGCCTCCACATGCACACATCATGTCTATACCGTGTCCATCTGGAGTGCCCTTAATCCAGAATCTGCAGAGGACTCCCCGTTCACATCGAGAAGGGGGCTCCACTGCTCTGGAAGTGGGTTGGTGCCCGTGTCCACCCAGGCTAAGACTGGAGGGGCCCAGGCACATGCATCTGGCAGGAAGTCCCCCCAGCTCACATCTGGAGGGGTGAGCTTGCTTGGCTGCACCAGGGCCCCTCAACTTGGGCACAGCTGACCTGGGGGTGGAGACCGCCTTGCCGAGGGGCAACCCAGTGCATCCCGGGAGGTCGAGCAGCACCTCTGGCCTCCAGAAGTTGCCCTCATCTCCGAGTTGTCACAACTAAAAATGTCTCTGAACATTGCTAAATGTGCCCTGGGGGGCACCAGGGCCTCTGGTTGAGGGTTTGGTAGGCCCAGGAGTCATCACCAATTGCTCCTTGTTTGGAGTGTGGTGTGCATGGGAGGGAGGGGCAGGAGAGAAGAAGGGAGAGCCCGGGGCTCCAGGAGGCCCCCCATTCAGACTGCATAGTCACACTGATGGGGCTCCAACCCCAGCACCCCACTTCCTGTCTGAGACCTTGGCAGGAATCCCCCACTGCGTGACAAGCCATCGTGAGTAAGGATGGCCCTGGCACGCCGGGTGTCCTGTGCTGTGGGGCGCTGGGCAGGTTCTCAGTTTTAAAGACCTGCTTGTTCCAAAGTAGAGTCTGCCTGATCTCTGGCTCAAGGTGAATCGGAATGCTTTCAGGGGAGAGAAGGGTACTCTCGGAAGTCGACATTCCAAATAATCACCTCACCTGCACAAGGCTCCTTCTCTCCCAGTGTCCCCCAGACTGCTGACAGGGGACCTTTCCTACCTCTAGCTTTGCCAACTGTCCTGATCCAATTAACCCACCTCAGGTGTCACTCATTCCCCCTCACCCAGCCCCCGCCTTTCCTCCACCCGAATGCCTCTGTGATGGAGGACCCTCTCCTTCCCCAGGAAGTTCTCCTGGACGAACCCTCCCCATCCCCCATCCAATCAGCATCACACGGGAAGCTGTTAATTTGCACCTGCGGGCGCGTTCCTTTGCAGACACACGTGTATGTTTGGGTTTGTGGATCTGCACACTTCCCTTAGACCAGGATCCTGGAGAACAGAGGGGCCCCAATTTCCTCCAAACGCCCAGAGGTTCCCCTGGCCACAGGGCTGGGAGTGGCAGGGCTGGTCTCTGCCATTGCTCCTCTGTCTGCCCAAAGCTGAGCTTCTGTGTTTGCGCACACCTCTTAATGAGATGGTCTTGCTCTGAAGAAGGAAGAATCAGGAAGGAAGCCCGGGTACAGTCCCCACACTAAGGTCCAGCCTCCAACCTGCATGTCACTGGGAGCCATCGAGATCTGCGTTAAGGAGGCCAACCTCAAAGCCAGGGACCCCTGAGAGCCTGCGCACAGCACCGCCACCCCTTCATCGTGTGGGATTCCCACCAGAGGTGCTGGACGGGCTGGTCCTCAGAGAGGCCCAATCCTTCAGGGGAAGGATGGGCTCCCCACCCTCCCCCCATCAAGCATGTTGTGCTCAATAATGAAATAATAAACTGGTCCACCCAGAAATTCCACTTCTGGGACTGCAAACCAAGATACAAACCCGAATTGTTCCCAGAGACAGATGAAAAAGGACGCTGACTGAGGTGCTTTCAGGAGCACCCCCTCCAAAAATCAGAAACAAGCTAAGAGAGGGGATTATGTAAGCAAATTATTAACGATTCATCCATAATCATGTTTTTTTAAAAAAAATATTGAATGATAAAAAAAAAAACCCATATCTTTATACACAGGGCAATGTCAATTTTTCTCTTTAGAAAAGGGAAGGATTACTGGGCATGGTGGTACATGCTTGTAATCCCAACAGCCCTGGAGGCTGAGGCAGGAGGATTGTGAGTTCAAAGCCAGCCTCAGCGAAAGTGAGGTGCTAAGCAACTCAGTGAGACCCTGTCTCTAGATAATGTATAAAACTAGGGGGTGGGGATGTGGCTCTGTGGCTGAGTGCCCTTGAGTTCAATCCCCAGCCCCAGCCCCACCCCCACCCCCACCAAAGAACAAGAAAAGAGAAGGGATTGGTTGCACATATGTAAAATTCATCTGGAGAGATAAATGACAAACATTAGTAACCGTCATCTCTAGACAGCAGATTGACTTTGGGCTTTTATTTTGGGTTGTTGTTTTACTGTGAGTAGAAAGAAATATTCAACAACTAACGAAAATGGTCTAAGTCCTTGAAAGACACGAACTCATTCAACTGGAAATAGCACAGAGCTAGAACAGAAACTGAACTTGTATTTTAATTCCCATCAACAAACTCCAGATCCAGGTGACTTCACTGGTGAATTTGACCAAATAGTAAGGAAGAAATAAAACCAATTGAATTGGTTTGCTGGGCTGCCATAGCCAGGAACTGCAGGCTGTTCTGGAGTCCAAGATCAAGGTGTAGGAAGGACTGATCTCATTCTGAGACCTCTGTCCTCAGCTTACAGATGGCTGCCTTCTCAGTGGGTCCCCACATGGTCTTTCCTCCGTTTTGCCTCTTCAAAGATCCTGTCTCCAGATGCAGCTGCATTCTATGGTACTGGGCATAAGGGTCTCAACACAGGAATTTTGATGGGATACAATTTAGCCCATAAAATCAATTATACACAAATTCCTAGTTGCTGTCACTGTAATAATCAAAGTCAGATGGACAGCACAAGAAAACTACAGACTACTGTCTCCCATGAACATAGATACAAAAGTTCTTAACAAATTGTTGACAAATACAAAGATGCTATTATATCATGATCAAATTGGACTTATCCCAGAAATGAAAAGTTGATTTTTATGTTAAAATTCAGTCAATCTGCATGTATTGGTGCACACCTGTAATCCCAGATACTGGGGCAGGAGGATCACAAATTTGAGGTTAACCTTGGCAACTTACTAAGAACCCTGTCTCAAAATAAAATGAAAAGATTTGAAGATATAGCTCAGATGCCCCTGGCTTCAATTCCCAGGACTGCAGAAAAGGAGTCAGAGATTGTAATACACCCTATCAATAAACTAAAGAAGAAAAAATATGATATCTAATACACACACAAAACACAGCAAAGCCAATCAACAACAAACGCCATTTGACGAAATTCAGCATTCACTCCTGATAAAAAGTTGTCAGCAAACTGAGAGAGAAGGGAGCTTCTTCAGCTTGAAGGGGGCATCTACAATAAACCTACAGCTAACATCCTGCTTGATGATGATGAAATCCCATCCCTACCCCCACAAGACCAGGAATTGCTAAGATCGTCCACCCCATCCTTCCATTCAACATGACACTGGTAGTTATAGTTAGGAAACAAGCAGGAGAAGAAATGAAGCACACAAAAAATAAATCGATAGATAAAAGGCGTTCAGGTTGGAAAGGAAGAAGCAGGATCTTCTCTATGGGCATCGATGTAATAGCCCATGGAAAAAATCCCATCAGCTTTTTGATGCCTGTTCAGGGTCTCTGCTGTCATCCTGAGTCACGCACATGCTCCTGGAAAGGGCCCTGTCCTGATTGTCTCTGATCTCTCAGGGCAGTGTCCCCTCCTGGCTAAAGCTGACATCTGATGTTATGAAGGTACAGATTTATGAACAGGGCAAGAAGGGCTGAGTCCATCCCAAAGCAGTGTGACCTTGAAGGACTCACGGGGCATTGCATGAATGTGTCTTGGGATGGGCCATAAGAGCTTGAGATTCCCCAAGTCCAGAGGGCATGCTCCTGAGGACCTCCACCACCCAACTAAGAGAGCAGTTGCTAGTTAGAAGCATCTTGAGATAAATAGAAAGGATAAAGATACTAACATCTGCCTGGTTCTGATAGAGAGTTGAATCCACCAATTAACTCCACAGGATGAGGCCAAGTAAGTCCTCCCACTCAGTTGGGAACATGAGTCATCTACAACCTCTGCCCTGGTTGCATAATTGTGTTCTTGTACTCAAGCAATAAAATCATTGTTTAAGAAAAAAAAAAAGTCCTGCAGGATTTACAAAAATGCTACTGAGATTATTAACTGATTTTAGCAAGGTCCCAGGAAATGAAATGAAAAATATAAAATAAATAGTAATTGCACATATTAATTATTAATATATGCAATTACTATTTATTTTATATATTTATTCATTTTATATAAATGAATCTTTCAAATTCATTTATAGCAATATTGAACACTGTGAAATATTTAGGAATAAAGTTGACCCAAAAAATACAGAATACTTGAACACTGAAAACAATAAAACGGTGCTCAGCAAAAAATCAAGAAAGACCAAAATAATCAAGCCCATACCATGCTCATGGATCAAGATATCCTTAAGATATCAAGTCTCCCATTGACTCTGTGGAGTCCATGAACTCTCAGTCAAAATCATAATGGACTTTGCTTAGAAAGTGACAAGCTGATCCCAAAATTCATATAGAAA